AAATATCCCTTTTGCCCCTTCGGATATGGCGATTTCGTTCACATTGAGAGAGCGATAGATACCCAGACTTCACACGAGCGAGAGGAGGAAGCACACGGGGAGGCAAAATGAAAAAATGGATTCCCCTTCTGTGGGCCGAGTCACGATAATCTCGGCTCCGGAGTGAGCGAGCCGCACTTGATGAGGATTGTTCCCTGAAGTGTGAAATGGCTTTTTCACGGTCCGCTTCCTAGCCGATTCAGGGATTGTCAAAGCGGTTCTCTCTTTTACACCGACACATCGCTTTTTTCGGCGGTGGACTTTGGACTCTCAAATTTCCCTCCACGATCCCCTTCCACTTCCATAGAACCTACATTTTCTTTGCTCTCGCTTCCTCGAACCGCTCCAGTCTCCTAGGTGGCGGGCTCTTCCTTGAACGCAATAAGAACCGTCTTATGTTTCACCCTTGCGCAGTATAAGGAAAGGAGTCATGTGTCGTCGGTCAGTCGTCACGGACGATGGATGATTCTCTAAGCGCCGAACATGCTCTAGGACTCATCATGATGTTGCATATTCAGCTCATGAAGCTTATGTACCCACCTCTGTTTGACACGACGAAAGTGGAAGAAAGAGTCGATAGCATAGTTCCATAGCGAATATGACGGATCAGATAGGATTCGGGAAGGAGGCGACCCAGAGACGAAGTGAACTCGAATGTGAACCCCGATGTGCGCACATCACACTGACTTCCACAGAGGAAGACCAGCCTCTCCAGGCTGGCATACTGAGAACCAGGAACGTGACATCCTTGTCTGGAGCGGAGAGCGAAGCCATACGCGTCCAGAGGGGAATATTGCCGGGAAGCCTGAGCAATGTCATCTGTACATGCAATGACGCATTCTTCGAAAAAGAGGAAATACTGGAACGACTGATGTGTGACTCGACAAAGGAGCATCCTCAGAGACTAGATGCTACACCAGAACTCTCTTACGGCGGTAGGTTCGAGGAGCTGACGATTTCTGCATATTTCCATTCTAGATCAAAGAGTAGTCTTTCCTCAATACATAACTCGCCGCTGTGCTAAGTGGCGAGAACTCGCTACTGATTGTGAGATGAGAGCGTCAAGCAAATGAGAATAAACTGATGGCAGTGACAATAATTATTACCCGTCTTTACGAGCGGTGTTCCGTCCATACCTGATCCAGACATACAGCATTCGGCGAAACGGTCGGTATCACGTTGAGGATATAAATTATTCGGATCCGTTTAATGAGCATATTCGCTTCTCCAGTCGTGTAGGCCCGGTCTCTCGAAACAATGTAACTCTGAACGGTACCAGGAGGGACGCCCAATCGCGTTCGGGGGAAAACGGAAGTGTAGTGTGACGGAGGAGTACCTGGCTTCCCAAGAATTGTGGAGGATGACTGTCGACTTCAGCTGAGACAGACGCTCAAGAGCATTGTTGCAGACGACTTCTACTCATCAATGAGCGGCAGTCTCCTTTGCTGAGGAGCGTCTCTTGTGCTCCCTTATCACTCTTGTCAGATCCACGAAAAGGTCGAGAAGGCAGGACCCCGAGAAAGCGAATCCCTCTCTGCCAGGAGCGATATAGCCGCGGGAAGCCGTTCAAGCGATACGTGCACATGCTGAGTGCTCTCGCTAAGAATACGCGAATGCTTTTCACCGACACCAGAATAAGGCTCGAGCCTCTTCTTCGCTCTGACCCAGTCTGAATTCGTTCTGACGAGCTCGCTAACTTCCGCCAAATCTTGGAGCCGACGACGGGAAAGACAAGCGGGTGGTGCCTCGCGGGAGCTTCTTGGGAGATTTCGCGATAAAAATGGAACACTCCAGCAGCACCCGCGAATGAAGGAGCCATTTCCATCCGACTTTCTGACAGCTCCCGAGAAGCCCGGAAGAAGTGCTTCAGAGAGGCGTCTCGTATGATCGAGTGGAAATCTGATGTCTGCAATCGAGAAGCGACCATTAATATTCACCTGTCGATCGATTGATGATTGAGCTATGGCAGGAGCCAGCTCAGCTATCCCGGTCAGAATTCCAGCGAGAGGGTCAAGCCTGATTGCTGCTTGAGAATCCGAGGCCCGAAGCTCAGCTTTCGGGTATCTGATGGCTCCTCTCGAGATCAGATCACTGGTTGTCCCAGATGGCGATAGATTCCCGATCCCCAGTGGCTCCTTAGCATGCAACGTCGGAGAAGTCCCTTGTGAAGGTTGGGACTCTGTTTATATCTTATTGTTGCACCATACAGCTGTTGCCTCCTCACGAAGCGGGGACGGTTGTCATCGAAGGAGGTAACATCTGCCGCTGACTTCAAACAACACAGTGAAACGCCGCGCTGCGCTGGTCTCAGAGGCAAGGCGATGACGCAGCACTCGCACGAACTCCAAGTTCAGGCGTTCTGTCGGCCCACGATTCTCGGCCGCTCGAAGCCATTATTTGCTCAGCCAGGTGCTAGATGAAGCTACATCGTCGCCCGTCCGCGGAGAAGGTAGGAAACAGACTTGGTTGTTTGTTTATTTCACAACAGATCCTCCCGGATTCCAGACATATATAGATTATTCACATAGAAATTATCGGAAATAATCTCTGACCGTTGCTCTTTTTGTTTGAGCTGTGTGCTGCTCAAGGAGAAAGAGCTCTGCCAGTTGACTCTTTAAGCTCGCTTCTGAGGCTGCATTTCCTATGGGCTTCGGTAACCGATTCCGAAGTGCCGGTAAATGACGGCTGAAGCTATGGCTCGTTGACGTCTGTTTCCCAGCCGGTATCCCTCGAGTACAATGATTGCTCTGACCGACTTATTGGGGTGATTCAGGGAGTCAGATGGTCCATCTGGATCTATGCGTCCTGCGGTGACCTTGTGTACCAGGATTTCCTGTCTGAGGGAGGCTAAGCCTTTGACTTTTAGTATTCTGAATTTGGAATACCATTTGGAAGCTGACGAGTCACGTTGCAGACCTCTCATCGCCCTGAGAGCGTCACTTCGTAGTACCAGCGCGATTCGGATGACATTTTCATACGAGCCTCCCCAAAGAGCAACGCAGTAAAATATCACAGGTTCAAATAAGGCTCTTTATAGGTGCTTGGACGGGAAAGTTGATTTTAGCACCTATTCTTCCGAGTCGTGAGAGGGAGGCAATCGCAAGAATACATGCCCAGATATGGACTGCAGGTAGGGGATCCATTCCATGTGCTCGTTGAGCACTTGGAAAAAAACCTTGTATAGGAAGGGGACGAAAGATATCGGCCGGAAGACCGGAGCCAGAGCGCCTGATAGAAGGCGGGCAAACTCTGCCAGATATCGACCAGGGACATTTTCCAAGGGACCGTCGAGGTCCGATCTTACGCTACTCACAGTGCTGCTAAACTCATGGGGCTCAACGGGGCGCTGAGAGAAACTGTTGGCATTCCGGCTTGGGGAGTCGGGTAACGGCAAGTCCACACTCGAACACAGATCGAGAACATTCGATTCATTCGGGCTGCACTGAGGATTCTCGTGCGGTGGCATCGTCTCTTGACAATAGGGAAGAAGAAGCCCCGGCCAGCCCAGCCCACTGGCACATGTAGCGGACAGAGGCTCCGCTCTACATGAGAAAGTCCTCGGAACGCTGATCGTGGCGAAAGATTTTGGACTACTCTCCTCATCCGGGCATAGACGAGAACTACGGAGCGTATGCACCCCGCGATTGATTATCATATTCCCCGGATCGCCCATACAGTATCCTTGATTGCTCACTGGCCCCAGCAACAGCTGAATCATATGGGCTTAGCAGATCGACCGTCCCGTCGATGAGCGTATTCACGGTGCCCGATATTGTCTGGTGCATTCATCGTAGATTCAGGATCCAAATAGCCTGCTTCACGACCGGAGATTCTGTATTAAATCATCGAATTCGAGCCTTCTTTGTTTTTTATTTGTTCTTCATCCCCGTTGCTCTTTCCTTTGCGGCGTGATTTGGGAGGAAGACTTCGAATTCCCCAGCCGACGCTCACAGCGGAAAATCCCCGACCAATACTAATGATTGGAACACGATCAGCTGCGGGCGATTAAAGGCCTGTGACCCGCGAGTGCGATGAATATCTCATTCAAGGTGTCAAGACTCAGGGAGCGAAATTTGCTCACTCAGTCGTAAAGGTGATCGCACATACTGATCCCAAGATACCACAGGTGATGCGAAACCTGGTTTTTCTATTCTATTCCGTTTCTTAATCGGCTGGGTCAAGCGAAAAAAGTATCACGGCTTACCCTCAGATTTTAGATTTCACATCTGAATATGATGTCTCCTCACTCCCAGGAGTTCTGGTGTCCGACACACGGTATCGATTCTCCTCATTCACGATAAAACCGTGTTTGGTAATATCTTGAATTGATCGATCTCATGATTTCATGAACAAGAAAGGTCGTGGAATATTTTCCCCTTGAACCAATAGTTTCCGAGATATCGACAGAAAGAGGTCCGGATCTCGAGGATCAATGGATTCGGGATGATCGAGTTCTACCATTCAGATATCATATCGTCGGCCGCTTGACGCCTCTCTTGTCGCTTCGACTGCTTCTCACGAACTTATGGGGGCTTCTGTAGTAGACTCGAGGAAAAAATAATTGCTCCAAACGGCTCTCATCTACTTTTCCCTCAGCCGAAATCGAAAAATGGTCGATCGATGGGCCCCCGCTTTCTCCTCGGTTTGGGAGGGGTGGTCCTACCGAATGTACTCACTGCCCTGCAGAAGGATGTGGAAGCTCCCTATAGGCTCAGTTTTCGATCCAAAATGAGCCGGCCGTCACCGTACATACACCCATTACACATGAACGTATGTACATATATCCATTTTTCGACTTGGTCTATGTCGGAGCGGATCCAGTCATGCGGAAATATGTACATGCACAGTGCCGGTGCTCTTGAGGAATGCGCGCAAACTCAGAACTCAGACGTAATCCCAGCGAATCACGGCCGCAGAAGCCCGAGCTCTTCGCTGGAAAACTCGAGAAGTAATCGTTCTAGCATACGGCTTTTATTTTGTTTGATCATTATCAGCGTGAGTAGGAGATGTCGCGATAGTGTCTAGGAATCATAGTCGAGATCTCAGGGTGGTCTCGGGAAGATTGCTTCGTCCTCTTGATCTTTGCAGAAATTCACACTAGCATTGCAGTTCTCCTCGTCGGATACATAGAAGACTTTCCCATTCTTGCAGGTACACAATGCGAAAGACGTGGTATCGACTTTCGAGTTTGCGGAAGACGAGTCTCCTCGATGATGGAACTCCCGTTTAGCCCGAACACTCTTCAACTCAGACACGGGCAGATTCTTGATTTCGAGCTTCGGACTGTCGATAATCACCTGTAAGAGCGATGCCTCTGATTGCACGATTCCGGAGAGAAGTTTGACTCCTCCGAAGCTCCACGACGTGATCGGAATATTGTACCCCATGATCTGAGACAATATAGCCAATCTCTAGCTCTCTACTTACTGCACCGTTATCAGATTCCAGTCCAACATCCACACCAGACTTGAGGACCACATACTCAGACTTAGAAACGACCACGGTGTCACCCCCGCTGCGGACAGTGACCTTTTCCGTTGGTGAGCCGACCCTACGAGAGGAAGAGCTCAGTCAGACAGAAAAAGTCCGAGAGGAGAGGGAGAAAAATGTGCAAATGTACAATGCCCGGATCCCCTTCCCCGTCCATGGCAAAACTGCCGACCCGGAACGGCCTGAAGACTTATCTCACCTGAAATCTTCAGTTGGATCACCACGTATCGTTCCTGATATGAGTGAGCCCTGGAGCGTGAATCCTGCGGATGCTTCGATCGGAATATTGCTCGCAGAGATAAGAACTTCATCGATACCAGCTTGGAACACAACATTATCTCCACTGGAGGTTGAATGAACTGCGAACACGCTCCCGCGAACGTCCAAGCTTCCGTCTGACAAGGTCAGGGAGTTGACTTTCCCGGTGCGAGCGTTGGATTCGATATGGATGCCTCGCCCCGACGATAACACGAAGCCATCGATTCCCTACGATCACGAGAATTTCCTTCAGAATCGGATCCTCAAGTTTCTTGCATACATCCGATCCAACTACTTCAGCTGACGGCGATTCCGCGAAGTCAGTCTTGGCTAGATCTTTGCCTGAATACATGTGTGATGGTATGAAAACCCGCTTGAATCTCGCGAACAGTCGTCGCATTCTGGAGTCATGTGCGGGATATTCAAGTATCTTTCCTAAGAGTCCAACTCCGCCGCGATTGTTCGGCCAACTTCCGTGAGGGAGACAGGCCAGCATGCACAATCAGGGAACCCTTGCGAATTGACTCCCGGCCGTACAAGAACGGTGAGAGAAGGCGACTGATATTGCCGCAGGTGCCCATTCACTCTAAATAGTCGTATTGAGTCCGAGAACCATCCTCTGTGGGATCGGGGGTCCCGATGCGCAGGGTCGATTTCTTCTCGGATTCATGAGTGTTCAGGGTTTCGGTGTTGGGGGAGAGCTTCTCTGAGTGAAGGCCCCCGAGCGCACTACGCGATATCCAGACAATGCGTCATCAGAAAATACTAAGCATTGCGAGAAATTCGGATGCTCATCCCAAGCGAGAAGAAAGCGCTCTGAAGTCGGCTGGCTGGAAAATGTCGAAGCGACCACCGAGTAATCCAAAACGACCGAGGGCGAATCCGGCATGTCGGAGTGAACCCGTTCGTCAAAATAGACAAATACTCGATTTACGATCTTCCGCAAGCGCTAGCCGACCGTCACCACGCAAGTATCCGGGACTTTTTCCGGTAGGCCGACTATACTGCGGAGATGTTCTCCAATCCATCGATAAGAGTTTTAAGGAAAGAATTTTTAGTCGTTGGCGTCGGTCAAATGGAAGAGCAACCAGCGAAGATCTTGAAACTATTCAGTAGGTGTGATATCCGCATATCTTATTCACGAATGGCCGCGGTTGTGTACTGGAAACCAGAATCCGTCGATGCGATCTGGATGGAGGGCCTCGTGGAGCAACAAGAAAAATGGGGCCTCACGCCCCGCAGGAATCGTAGGGCTCGCGCTCTGGGCCTCGTGGGGTAATCCAGCACCAGCACAAGGTCTGCAGTGTACCGTTTCTTTCACGTTTGTTTTACTTGTTTACCACAGGAGACAAAACTCAGGCAAGGGCCGCACACATAGTGAAGTTTACTGAATAGAGAACGAATTAAGCACGAGCCCTGAACGACACTGAGGCGATCATGAGCCCTCAAACGCTTCGCATGTCTCTACCAAAACAGGGGCGCGGTTTCCACATTTTCCTGCTGAATTCTGAAAACCGGGTGGAATCTGAAACGACGTACCCTGTTGCGACTAATGTGCGTGAGCTGACTAGTCCTCAGCATTTCAGCGAAAATGACATCATCCTTGAACCACAGTTCTGACTCTGATGAAAATTTCACTGACTTCAAACCACCATTTGTCACATGGAAAATCCGTATTAGAAAAATGTTCATGGAGAGTGTACAGCTGCCTATCAGCGCCGTGAGTATAATCAGCAGTTGGAAGCCAAAAAGAGATGTTGACGGAGAATAAGTCCCGTGAATCTTGGTTGGGGACCCCTCACATGAGGTTGAATTAACTTCTACCCCATCGATCAGCTCCATTCCGGATCGAGGAGGCAAGCCCGTATCGTACGGAGATCACAGGAGCCTTGATGATCGGGATGGGAATGGAACACGTTCGACGTCTTTTCAGATCGTCCCTCACGTCTTCGCAGCACCTGAATCGAAACGAGGGACGTCCAGAGCGGACTCCCCCTACAGAGTGCGATGTCAGCGCCCTCTTCGACAGACCCTTTCCAGAGGGAGGCAAGAGAGGGAGAACAGTCATCGTGGGGCCGATGCGGGACTAAGTCCCGAAGAGTTTGCTTGACAGAGGAAAGAATCGGATGTCGTCTCGCCCTGTACTGTATCGCCGCATTGTGTCGTATGGCGCCCTAATGCAAGTTTCATGTTTCCTTGGGAACCTGAGCCTTGGGAGCTCGCATATTTCCGCGGTGCTTTCTTCGGGGAAAGTGTCGGTTACAGGCGGGATCCATCCACTGGGATGTACCTCGAGATATGAACTCGACTATTGTCCTCGTCGTCTTCACTGTTTGGTCGCCCATCGGAGCAGCTACTTTGGGAAAGTCGCCGTTTACTCATGTGTACCATCACCACAGGGCGTCCAATATGTATGATGTGATGAGGACAATATGAATCGCATCGAGGCATCCGGACAGCTGTGTCTGCCGATAAAGGCTATTCTTGTCGCCAATATGAGAGGGGGCGTGGTCGCAGTGTGTTCCGGAGAGGACCCTCCGCGGGAGCCAAGCTTGCGTTGAGGGTAAAAAGAGGCCAATGAAAAAAATCGGAGCTCCATAGGAACAAAAATTCCATGAATCCAATAGGTCATCAGCTGTTCAGCTGCTGAATCAATCGCACCATAGCGGGAAATCTATTCAACAGACGAAAAAAGTCAACAGAATTGTATCCTCGAGCGGACGGCGAAGAGTCATACGCTCTCACAACGATGCGCGACCGTGGCATGATCGATTCGACGAGCGGGCCGATACCCGAGCCAGCCCGGATCGCACACAAGTGGGACTTTGAGACGCGGGAAATACGTGGCATAAATGAGGTATCATTCGAAAGCAATGGGGCGATTCGAAAACTCGGCTCGAACGGGTCGAATGAGAGGAGCGAGCTCCAAGGCCACATTCTCATCTCGCGCCTTATCCTTGGGCTCGACACTCGGTGATGCGAGGAGTGAGGAACGGATTCTGCTCGAAGATTGTAAGAGGCAGAACACCACAGACGCCCTCATGTTGGATTCTCACGGTGATCCGCGTGTGGAGTCATGCGTCATTCCTCGCAGCTTCGTATGCTTAAGAATGTAAATTCAATCTATGGGTACAAATACATGAGGCCGCCACCGAGGAAATCGAGCCAGACGTTCTGAGATGAACTTGCCGAAATGGCTGGATTCGCGAGCAACTGATGACCAGCTAGAGCCTTCTTCATGCCTGGATCGTTTATCCGACGGGCAGTCGGAGGATGCATGCGGGCTTACGCGGAAAACGGACAGAAATCGTGCCGATCCCGCTGAGGAACCCAGATGAGTGGCAAGGATCGCGCACGTATGGCAGCCCTGAGCGGAAAAGGAGATTCGATCCTCGAGCACCGCGAAATTGCCCCTCGACTGCTTCGCGATTCATCCAGTAATGCAGACAGCGATAGAGGCTTTTCCGAACTCCTGGGACTTTTGGGGCATCCCTCGGACCAGATGGCTTACGCTGCAAGTGACGTGATGGCGGGACTTTCAGCGAGAGTGACCTCCGCGAGGATCCAAGGAGAAGCGAACAGTATGCGAACGACTCGTACAGTATTCAGACTTCGCGTCCGTCGACTCTTAGCCCCTATGATGGACGATCGGCGGACTTCCACCCCCCACCCCCTTCCCTGACTTGTTATGAGCAGCTTTCGCTGAGCACGTGCAAAAGTATGGTAGAACTCTGAACACTTTCTACTGTATGAGGCACACTGAAATGCCAGGAGACACCATGAGAGCCCAAACGATGCTAAGTCTGCACTCGGAGTCCATTCCATTCTGCTTTTGACTCCGAGAAGACACGTACAGTAAGCTTCGCCATATCGGTGCTCCGCGCAATCGGATCTACTTCTTATAGAGGCCGAGAGTGTCTGGAGTCGCAACCTCGATGTCTTAGACCCCGCCTGATCTGATCCCCAGCCTAACTCGACCTTTTTAAGCGCCTCCAAGAAGATCCGATCAGACGGAGCTCACTTTATACCTTCCGCCGGGAGGAATATGCCAAGCTCATGATTTCCCTCCGTTTCCGAAAATGTCTGGCAGTCCGAGGGAATGAGTCGGACGTCTGCGGAAGGGGGTCAGAGGAGTTATCTCTTGGAAATGGATATTCTATCGCCAGGATTCGAGCCCAGGTCGGCCTATTGCTCCTGTGGGACTCTGCACGCGGCGGTCACCCTTATTTCTCGAGCTTTCAGCAATATGATTTCTTGACCTTGAAATCTCAATGGATTAAGAAAAACAGTGGGAGGTGTGAGGAGCGAGTCCGCTTCGCGATCGTGTACTCAATTACACCATACAAAAGCCCGAGAGCTTGGGAGGGACGAGGACTTTTTGGAGACCGCTCCCTACTCCTATCCACGACCAATTTTCGTATCGTAAATTACGGTCCTGTTCCTGACGCGGACGAATGTCTAGTCCCTCGCACTACGCTCGCAGACGGACTCGATTGATCTTACAGCATCGGTCGCGCATGATTGGCTTCCTTCACTCGCAGCATCGAGGCTCTGACGATCCCCAGGAGGCGGAATACTGAGAACAATTATTCCTTGCCGAACTCCCCGCGCGGAATCTCGTAAATCAGCAAATAGATCATTAATTTTTGTCCGATAAGAGCTTCATGGCGTGCGGTGAGTGGACGGGACCCTTGCTTGCACTACTTACGTCGTCGTCATCAAGCAACCCACCTCCTTCCCTCCCTTTGTGACTTTCGGAGATACGCTTCATGGATACAATGCCGGCGTCTATCATTCTTGGCAGCTCGCTGCCCGACCCCCGGATCGGCAGCGAGCGGAGGGAGCATGAGGAGGAGATAAACCGACGCCAGCTCCGCTACGCTGACGACCCTTGACGGGAATGGAATTTCAATGAAATGAGAAGAGGACGCGGCTGCTCCCCGGCTGGTGTCTCCGCGCCGGAGAGAACAGACAAGGCCCCCGGGAATGAGGATGTTCTCGGGCAACGTATACCCGAAGCGCTCGACATAAAACTTCTTCGTCCCGCTTAGTATGGCCAACCAAGAGCTCATTCTTCCCGAAAACTTATCCGGCCGCTGAGAAACGCAGAGGAATCGGCGAGCTCTTCCGACGAAAAGAGCGTTCCGCGCGCTTCATTGCAATGCGGGATCATTTACGATCAACCTATATTCGTTTGAAACTTCTGATTTCTCGCTCTCTTCCTGCTGGCTCCGCAATGAAGCGGGGCAGTCATTTTCCTCAGCAGCGGTCGAGTCGGCACTCGGCACCACGCCCGCTCCTGAGTCCAAGAAAAGCCACAGATGCGGAGGCAAGCAAATTTGCCACTCAGTAGCGATCGCTTGAGGCGCTCATCCATCGTCGGGAGTGTCTCGCACCGCAGCAGTCGCAGACAGGTAATTTCACCTAACATCATCATATTCCATCTTCTCATTCAGTCGGTCTCTCCCGAGAAGTGCGCGATTGAGACGACCGCTGACTGCCCTCGACTCCCCCATATCTATACCGGCCATATAAAGCACTCTTGGCGATGCCCAAAGGCTGGAAGAAGGAATCAAGAGCGACGTTATTCTATTAATCTAGAAGATTGAGACAGACTGAGAGTCTGGGTTACTTGATGAGATTCATATAATTCGTCATCTAGAGCAGTTGGAGGTTAAAGGAAGTTAAAGAGTTGGAGGAATCAGAGGAACTTTGAAGGGGTAGGAACTCCCCTAATTGAGGTGTTGTCTCGCGTTCCCCACTTGGCAAAAAATCTCAGCCTCAGCTGACACAAATCCCCGAATTATATTCGTCTCTTCACTCCATGACCCTAATCTGGCCATCACCTCTTGTGCAAGCACAATGGACTTCTCAAGAGAGGAGAGGAACAGAGACCAGACCGAAATTCGCTGCTGCTTCTCCCTGGTCCGGGGAGAGCCTCAGAAACACGATAACTAAGCTCGGAGGTCTGTAATTATCGGAAAACCTCGCACAACAATGGAGCTAGCTATCTGTCGGTCGACCCATTCGTTCCATCCGATGCTTCCATGGGCGCGCGGTTCAGCCCAACTTTCTCCTGAGGGAGAAGCGAGGAAGCTCTTGTGGAATGAGGGGGTTGATTAGACGAAACAACCAGGGAAGGAGCTGCCCAATTTTCTGATCGGAATATCTCGAATCACGGCTCCGTCTTAATCGGGTAAGCTGCACGCGAGAGGCACTTGGTACGCGTTCCGAGATCGTTACTTAATTTTTCGGTAATTCGAGTATCATTCAATCTTTCCGTTCAACGAAATGAGGTGGATTTTTCCATCCAGGATGACTTCGCAGATGGGGGCTCCTATCCGTTTCCTTCTCCGTGGGACTCTCCAACACGACAATTCGAGCAAGAGGTTTTCCCTCGATGGAGCCCCACGAATCGCTTCTCGCGCGATTTTTGAACGCGACTCTCTTGCGGCGCGATTCTGCTATGCTCCCGTCGAGAACTTAGTCCATGATGTTGTTTCAAGGGAGGAGCTGGCAGACACCGGAGAGGGCATTCGCGTCGGTCGAGTTATTCACTGGGAAGAAATCGGGTGGGCCCGGGTGAACCCGAACCTGGAGTTCGCGTTGAATACTTCGCAGTGGCAGTCGCAGCAGATGATCAAGAATATCACAAGAATCGCTCGAGTCGCTGGCGAGCCCGCGGCGATGTCCGAAAATATTTTTCCAAGGCACCGAGTCGATTCCTACGCTCATCAGTCAGGATTGACACAGTTGAGCGAGATCGAGCTTTCTGTAGGCCAAAATAAGTCACTCCTTATGCATGCGAAGTTATGCATGTTCGCGTACTCGGATCGCGGAATTCGCGCCACGACTTACTTGTCCGTCTGATCTCTTCGGACAGAACTTTTCTCACCATCATAATTTTCTCCCGGAGGAGTGTTATCCTCGAGTCTCAGGATCCGGAGTCCCCATCAGGGCCTGGTCCCATTGAGCTCAAAACGAGCGTTTTGCGATGCCTCACACGGCTTCACGCATATTTTACCATAAGTTCATATATTCCTCGTGGGATGCCCGATTTCTGAGCATCTTCACGATCGAGTTAGTGTCCTCTTCCAGCGATTCGTACCCTCACTCTCCCTGCCTAAGGGCTGATGCGTTCTACAGCGATGAATGTGGGCTAATCGTTGACCGTGCGTTCTTCCCAAAGGCTCCTTTAAACTGGCGTCATCACGCCCTCTGTGGGTTTTTTAGCCGTAGAAAATGGGTCCGCGAGCGGATCTATCCTTGCGGTTGTCCTCTCTTGTGATCTCCGTCTCCTCTCAGTGAAGTTCGCTCCGGGGCGGGGCCCGGTCAGGTCCTCTCTCAGAACCCGCCCTCGAGCATGACACGTGGTCTCGTTCAAGATCTCTGAGCTTTCTTGCTTACGCCACCGAGCTTCGTGAACGAGCATCGTTATCCCCGATCTCCGCCAGGCCGAACTTCCCTAGTTTAGGATAGCTGTGTCAAGTTCGCGATTTCGTGGGTCGTGTCGACAATGACCGAAACCTCCAAAATGAGCCAAGCGAGTGATGCAGTGCATCACTTACTCGTCGTTCATCAAGACCATGCCGGACAAAGCATGACGGTCCCTGCGAGAGTGAGTTCGCATACAGAACTTAGAATAACACTAATTTATTGTAAGCAGAATCGTCGGAGAGCCGCGTGCATACGGTGGAGCCGCGTGCATACGGTGTGGCTTTGCTGACGAGTTATAGGGTCTCAGAGGGTAAGCAACAGACGCTGCCGCTTACAGAGTGATTTCGGGCAGCGAAGATTCTAGATGGAGGAGAAGACCCATGAGAATGGGACGCCGGGCATTGATTCCAGAAATGTCTAGAGGTTACCAGTCGGGTGAATTTCTCATGGGGACAGTTGAGTTTTGTGCCGCGTTCTACCTCCGTTCCTTCCTCTCTGGCTCTCCATCACTTAACCCTGTGCCTTGAGCGAGCCGGATGACTCTTGGGCAGCCCAGCTCAGGATCGCCCATTGATGATTGATGAGATTAGCGTTTCGACGAAAGATTCCAAGAGGCGCGATACCCTGCAGAATTCCTCCTCGCTCTTATCTCATCGCTCCTGACCCGATCCAGTGAGTTCTTGGATTTTATCAGAAATGCTTAGCAGTGGAGCTGAGCACCCGATTTGGAAAATGAGTCGCAGATCCCGCCGATTCGGAAATAATTTACTCGCGTCTCCGATATCTCGGGAACCTCATTGCTCGAGGGAGTTACCGGAGCCCATAGGGCGAGCGGTGTCACATGGAATCGTCAGCGGGCGAATCTATTAAGACCCGTCCGAAATTCCCCTCCTCAAGCTCCTTCTCGACACCGATTCATGGCCGTATCTTCCGCCTGACTCCTACTCAGGATTATCGGGACCACAGTGATATCTGTGCAGTCATACTCGCTCCGCATTGATAACACTTCCCTTCTTCGGCGAGCGGGTCGAGTCGGTCGCTAGCGTATCAACTCTTCCCTTGTCGGTGCGAATATGGAAGGCGCACCTACATTTTCCATGATTGATGATAACTCGAGCAACTCCGAATGCTTCGGATTCCGTCAGTCGAGATTGTGTGTGAAAGGGCCATCGGAACGAAATGCGTCGCAACTGTCGAGACCGGCATGGGCGCTCAGATGGGGCAGAGGGACGAGTACATTTTTGTCCGAAAAACTCCTTTTAGCTCGCTCCGTGTCTCGATTCCACAAACCCGGCTCGGTCGACTCAACTTGATAGAGTCCAAGCGCCGAGTTCGCTGCCGCCCCGCAGAGGAGCCTCTTCGTACGATCGTGTCGGATATCTGTCTGCTCTGCTCGAGGAATGTATTCCGCACACTTCATTGAGGGAGCAGGAGGGACCCAGAGCCCGTTTTCCTCCCGGCAATTCAATGGGGGCTCCCTGGAGATTCTCCCCTATCCTTACCGGGCTCGCCCGTGATTGGGACTCATGAGACCGAAAAGCAGTCAAGCCGGAAGCCTGATTGGCTATATATGCAGTTCAAGGGCGGAATAAGCTACACGTCGGACAGAGAGTCGAGCGAGCCGTCGCTCGGTCCGCTCGCAACGATCAGAGGATAGCACGGGCCACGGGGAACAGACACATGCTCATCATTTGGACAACGCTCGGTTCGAGAGTGTCGATGAGTAGCTCACTATGTACCTGCTGGAAATCATGCCCAATGAAATGCTTCCTTCGATGGACTGCTCGCTGTGCCACCGTCCCTTTTACATTCCGGCCACTCTCATTAATTTTTTTGCTCCGGCGTCTCCCTGAGATGGGGGACGGATCTTTCTCCGACACACAACTGCTCTTTCTCAAGAAGAATCCCTCACGCAGCGGAGAATCGAACCCCAGGAGTTACCAGCTATCCGATGAATTCTTTTAGGCCAGAATTCCCAAGAAGTGAGGGAGTTGAGGAGCCCAGCCTACTATAAATCAGAATCGGGATTCCCCCAAACTATCAGTCGAAGGCAGGGTTCAGGCACTTGAAATTCTCGGAGTTCCACCGACTCTATCCTGAGCATTCGCAGCTAAACGGAGGGAATCCTTTATTTGCAGACCTCAACGATTTACGCACGAGATCCTCGAGCCTTCATGAATCTCAAAATCGGGGTTACAGGGATTCGCAAGAAGTATCTCTTCATTCTTCTTATCAGCCTGTGTTGGCTTGTTTCGATCAATATCTTGATGACGTTTTTGATATCGAAAGCGGTTAGATTTTCCTTCCACGGAATGGGATCATTGAATGTGAACGACAAGTCTCTCCGAAGCGACAACGCGGTAAATTTTCTCAATGGACTCGCAGTGAGGAGCATACATTCCCGTCTGGTGAGTGCTACCCGCCTACTCCCGCACCTTCCCTTCTGTCCCGCGAGTTGGCTCCCCGCTTGATGTACATACTCATCTCCAATTCCATCGGGCATCCACCACGATTTTCGGGTCTACCGTCGGCGTCGTGTGTCGCATCACATGCGGATTCGGTAGCTTCGACGCGAACACCCTCAGAACCTTATAAGCTCCTCTTCCGTCACGACGACGCGACGGAGGCTATCCTCCCTGTTCTTCGGGTAGAATAAGAAAAGAATGCCCATTTCAGGCCACAGTTGATATGTACCATTTCGGAATATTACAGGAGAGCCCCCTTTTCGTACATTCGGCCGCGAACATCACGCTCGCATCGAAGGGTACGATTCCTCGATTCCCGTCTTCCTTCATGACGATCGGTGAGTAATTTCTAATATCTAATCGTAGGAGGAGGAGTCCGAGGATGCGATACTTTTGGCGAACTTCACTACCGGAGGTGTTCTCCCATACTCGGAGCGAGAAGTGCATGCATCGCCGCCGCTCCTTCGGTAGAGGGCCGAAATCCCAAGACTCGAGGATACCTTGAGGCGGGATGCTTCGCATGAAAATGCAGGACCCCCCTGCCTGATCACCTGATCAGAATCGATACTCCCCGCGAGATTCCGGGGGTCTATCGAGCACGATGGTCGTCGAGGCGCACATTAGGATGTCCGCTGAGAGCAAATCGATGAGTCTTTGCTCTTTGACGTAGCCCAAGACGACTAGTCTCGAACCCTTCTATTCGAATCGGCGGAGCCCCTATCTCGAGCGATACTGCATGGTGCGAAGCACGTAGAAAACTGGGGCTTGTCCGAATTCTCTGCCATCCTCGCTGAGAGTCAACCCCTCGATCCCGCTTTCGGTGTCCACTGTCGTCGCGCTGCTTGAACGGCATATGTATGAGCGTATGAATTTTTGCTCGAAGTCCTGCGAGCGCCTCGTCTCGTTCCGAGATGCGTGCGTCAAATAAGATGTCCATAAAAACTATTCAAAATGCCTCTGCCGTTTTGTAGCTCCGAGACACCTTGGTGTAATGGCTGATACTTTCACCGTACACAACACGGACGGCAAGCAGATTTTCCATGCTACGGGGGAGCATTCGAGGATATCAGCTCACACATTGAAGATCAAAGGTAAGGAATCTTTCTATCGGTCTCGCGACAAGATCCAGCCGCCTTGCATGCCAATACGAAGGAACCTGAGAAGGAATAAGCCGTGATGATCTCCGAGGGCTTCGATGTTCGTCTGGATCTCAGTTTCCGAATCTGAATGCTGCAAATTCCGAAACCCGCTCCTGATCTCAACTTGCCTCCTACTCAGAATCTCTCGAGTTCGTGAGACCGCGAATGCGATGCTGCAGACCCCTCTGAGACGAGATCTGTTCGCACGAGAACGTGCAATCGCTTCCTCCGTCAAGCGCCTGGTGAAGCAGTGCGCGTACGTCGATTGGCTCTCTCGGCAGCTGCTCTGGTACTGCTGTGATAACAATCCCTGTATTCTTTTATGATCTCCCGCGATCGGGTACCGGGGGAAGTATAGTATCGCCATCAACCGCACTTCTGGAATCCCATTCTCGAGAAGTCATGGATGGACGCCTCAAGACACGGGGTGCCGAATTCTCCCTTCCCGAGGGATATTGTTCTCCGTCGTTAATTCCTCCGAGCCCTGGAAAGGAGCAGCTCGGCCACGGTTCCACGTTGTCTCGTAAAGAGTGTGTGCGCTGAGGAACCTCCCTCCAGAAGGATTGAGAATTGTTCCAGCGCCCCCTTCGTAGCCGGAAAAATTCTGAAGGGAATCGAATCTCCCGGGAGCTTTTCGTTTGGTAGGCTTCTGGAGAAGATTCTCCAAATCTGTCCCAAGTCCTGGAGACGGCGTCTGGAGCCTCCCTATGTAGTTGTCAGTTGAACTTAACCATCCTAAGACTTGTCTGACGATTCAGCAAATCTCTCCTCCGGTCCATCCTGTCCGAATGTCCATCGGCTCGTTCGAGAGCCAGAGTGCAGTCGACAGCTTGGGTCGCTGTCGCATTTTTGGCGTGTGGTATCCGTATTCGCAACAGAGCCTCTCCCGTTGATTTGACCTATCCTCTTTTCCCTCATGGCAAGCACGCACGTGGTCTTCCCCCAGACCCCGACAGGAATTGTGATCGCGCCAAGTCGATCGAAGAACGAGCGTTATCCTCTCTCCACTCTGGGGGGGAGGGGAGAGTAGCTCAGCCGGGTTCCGCCGCCCAGCTTCGAGATCACGTCTCGGGTGCCGACTGAAGACTCCGACGGTCCTGCTTCGCGGCGAGGAGATTTGGATCGCTCGTCCGGGGAGCGGAGAGCCGCGACTTTTGCTCGTTTCCCTGCCCAGAACGGTTCGAATGATTCGCTGCTTCGAGAAAAAGAACGACACCAATGAGCGATACCTGCCCCCCGATAGGCGTACCTCCATTACAAGGGAGCATCGGTGACCTGGAGAGTTTTGATGTGATTCTTGGATGGCTGTGAGAGGAATAAATAATATATACGAACAGCGCCCTGGGTCTTCCGCCAGCTCCAGATTTGACACGCAGCACCTCGGATGAGAGAAGCCATTATATCCGCGTCTCCTGTAGGAACGCGTCAGGATTGATTCTTTCCGACTTTCACGTATCTTAGGAAGGAGAAACACGACGTTAAGGCATTATTGCAGCCGGCCGGTCGGGTCTCACTCAGGAAACCGATTGGCAGAATATTTTCAAACATTTCGCATGTATGTGCCTATAATCTGTTGTCTCCCTCCTCTAGGCTCAGGCGGCATTCGCGTTCAAGGTGCGGTCCAGAGTTCTGCTCTGAGGAATCGAGATGGTCTCCGCGTGGAGAGTTCTACTCGTAAGCTCCTGGTGTCGGGTCCTGAAGGAGTGAGCTTAGGATCGACGAGTGGAAGTATATTCTTCGAGTCGTACGGAAACATGACGCTCACATCGGCTCGGGGAAAGGTGAATATTAGTATCCAAAGCTATCGCGGAATACCTTATTCACTCCCGACCTTCGAGTTTACCGCATTATTTCCCTACACTCCTCAGAACGCACTTTCTCACCCCATCAGGAACATGCCGGATAGCTTTCCCGAAATATGGTGATTCCCATCTTGAAGCCAGATACTGGGAACTCGAGATGACATGTGCAGAATGTTGTAGACGCACTCTGACACGTCTCTCACAGAGGGAGGGGGCTGCTCGTGGGAAGAACGCGGTACCTACGATAGAGGAGCCAGCGCTCCCTGCACGAAAAATTATTATATTCCACCTGAATTAGCGGAGCCTGTTGGTTTCCAGATCACCTTCTCCGCGAGCGCAGTCATCATGGACAACATCAGAAGCCCGATTCCGTCGAAATCAGGAACGCCATACAGCGGTATCTACCAGCTGTGTATATGTGCTACCGGAACCCTGTTCCTCGCCTCGCCAGCGGCGACTTGCCGTACAGACGCTCATGTGTGCGGAGTAACCTCGGTTCCTCTGTGATCTACGGTGGAGATCAGCCTTCGGTTCGGATTCAAACGCTCAAGCGGGGCTCATCTACTAGCGAGAGTTCCCTCGACCTCATGAAAAGTACAGCGAACGGGCATTGTTTAATTGAGGAGTCGGAATAAACAACGTTGGAGACTTCCGGGTTAGAGATATTTTCCTCCATCGATCGCAGGAGCAAGATCTCGCTTTTCATGGTCCACAGGTCCATAGCAGAACCGGGATCGAAGGGCACATGTTTCGGAGCGTAGTCCCTGTAGGAGCCCCCGACAGAGGGCCAATGATGCCAGAGGAGATGATGAAACCCGAAGGCACATACGTGGGGAGAACTCACCGCTGCTTACAATGGGAGTAGACCAGCCGGAGGCGAGTTGTACGAGGTGCCACTGGGCATCACAAGGGCTTCCCCGCTCGCAAGGCTGAGTCCAATTTCCGATGGGTGACTCGAGCCTCCGAACCGGACTCCACCTGCAGTGAGGACCCCACTTCCCTCCGAGATAGACGACGGAAGCCGCGAAACATCACGGCGATATGTCCTCGTAGTGAGGGCAGTCAAATCTATGATCCCTGCCAACGGAAGTGGGACCAGCCCCCTCAACCGCAGCAAAGCCCAAGAGCTACCCTAACTCTCCTTTGCTCTTTTACTATGTACTCGCCGTGTACGAGAGCTGACTCTGTGAGGCCGAGGTTCAAAAATGAAAACCACGACCATTCCGAATCGGCGGCGGTTGAGGACCGCGATATCTCTAATCCGGGAAAACCAATAATTGCCGCCGAGCTCGAACCGTCGGACAGACATGACCTGGGGGGACTTGATAGGTACTCTAGCAGGATTTGGCTCTGATTGTTTTATAATCCACGGGATTACTTCGGTCCCGATGCCCTGCCTGTTGCCGACTCAGCGTCACTGAGCCCTTGAGCCATGGGATTCCCCGCAATCCCGTATGGGGATTTCGTGCCCACACGCAAGCTCTAGCTTCCAGAGATATCGGTTGGGACTCGCTCAGCGCGCAAAGCTAGGCGGTGGCCTCTCTGGTTCTCCGATTGTAGAGTCGCATTGAGCTCCATTTGAATTCTCGTCAAGGTGGATGCTGACTCCATCTCTTTTCAGTGGTCCTTCGACGCGGAAACGTTTCCGCTTCGTTCCAGGGAGTGGCATCAGCGGTCGTCCTTTCAGCGGAGCGCAAGGCATTCTGCCATCCAACGGGTATCTCAGCCTGCTATCGGAGATTGTGGGGAGTGCAACTCGCGACTGCTGCCGAAGGTTAGCGATCCGATTCGGACGGTTATGGCCGCGGACTTGGGGTACTCTGCAGAAGGATTGGATGCACCATTACGCGGTTTCCACGGGGGTCAAATCGGAAAGATGGTATACGTTTTCTCAGGCAGCTATACTCTCTGACTTACTCTGCAAGGGAGACGGATTTTCAGCTTCGGGACAGGATGTCTCCGCCTTCCCGGCTCTACAGTGAGGATCATGTCGGCCGATCCAAGCCTGCTTGAGTATTATCGTGTGCTCAGCAGGCGACAACGAGAAAATATAAGGAGCTATCAAGGTCTGAATACTGACTGCTCCGTACGGCGGAGCAATCAGCTCTCATTTGTAGGCGCAAGGAGGATGAGAAGATTGGAATTGACGAGTCTAAGCTAGAGAGTTTAGGATAAAAGTCGATGAAGCTCATCGAGAGCGACTTCCGAACGTAGGCCTGCAGGAAGCAACATCTCAAGCGCGACAGAGGCACGAATCGGGAAATCCCCGTTTTTGAATGCGTTGCACTAAAATACCGCCCCCGGGCGGATATTCCAGAGAATTGTCCCCGAATTCACTGCCGGAACATCATTTTCTGAGCAAAGGAGCGCCTCTCTCAATATCGAGCCTCCCAACGCCGCGCCTCGAGAGAGCCGCCCCGGTCGGAGCGTCCCTCTCTGCAGCAGCTCGCTGGGGCTTTCTCTCCCCAAGTTTTCTCCTCAATGTCCAAACTGGCAATGCCGTTGTGTTTTCCGGATCGTCTACATCGTTCAGGAACCTCATCGGCTCAGCCTAGGTGATCCCACAATCAGTCAGGAGCCTTATGAGCTGAAAGCACGCGGTAGGGTGAGCGTCAATATCTGCCGCTGTAACTATTCGATTTGATTTCAATGTTTATTTTTTAAGACTCCGAATTTACTTGCACGGCAAGATATTGATGTCAATGCTCCCGATCGTACGGAGGACGTCGGACTCTCGTGAGTGTTGCTCGCAAGAATGCAGGGAGCAAGGCACCAGCCATTTTCTCGCTTCAGAGGGCCTTCAAGGGCTATAAATAATATGCTCGTAGCAGCCGTGGGCATATGCTGCTAGCTCAGAGCAGCATGTTCTTTACGGCACGAGCGGCTCTCGGGGGAAAACGATGCGCAACAGACGCGTCATTAAATTCTTCGCTGAGCAGCATCATTCAACAGCTTCGCTTACGTTTCCTCCAGAGAACCCCTGCAGGGCCTTAGATGCGTGTACCCTTACCTGCACGGTGCTGCTCGCCGAACCGTCTCCTAGTCCTCTTAGGTCCCTGTCCACCAGTCGGAGAAGGCTTGTCAACGCAATTCTTTGCCACGACCGAATTCCCCTCGAAGATTTAGAGTTTTGCCACTTTTATCCTTCGGTCTCGTTGGGTTCCAACCACATCTATTCTTGGCCCAAATGACCGGATTGGAGCTCCTCGATCAGGCGTGGAGCAGAATTCGGGAGTGTTGTCAGCAATGTCTTCCGAACTTTTTTGCTTGAGCCATTCCGAGCGTTCGGAGTTCGGAGTATGCTCCTCCGACAACTATCGTTGTATCCAACCTCTCAAGCAGCTCATGATGATATGCATCATATGTAACGAAGGACGAGGTGATTCCCGGAATGGAGGAAGCTTCGTCGCTCCTTGCTCCGCTGCCCAGCTCTGTCCCTCTCGGAATTCTTCTCCGCACCGTGAAGTCGCTCCTCTGGCAGCAGCTGATAGTGGTAATCCTCTCAGGCGTGAGAAGCCCCCGGACCGCATAGCGACAATTGGAGAAATCCTCTTAGAGAGCCCCGAAGCGGTCCGGGCGCGAAAGCCGGAATTTTTTTTTGGATGTGGGACATTTCTCGGCGCCCTGTGTGAGAACTTGCAGAAGGTCTTCGAGCCGGGGATGTGTGTTACTGTCTCTGAGTCATTCCTTACTCCTGACCGAAGAAAGGTTTTTCCTGATACAAGGGATATTGCTGAGATCACGATTCTCGCCGTCTAGCTTTGAAAAGAATTCTATTCTGGTCTCGGAGCGCGAAGAGTGCGTTCCAGGACGATAGCACCAGGCCCGCGATCGGATCGGAAAGCCGAATTCTCTCCTTATTCTCCATCTTTTCTGAAATATCTTCTCCTTATACTAACCAGCCGATCCCGGATTATCGCCACCTGAGAGTGAGCAATAATCTTTCCCGTCCTCGGTACTCAGAGTACTTAAATGAGCTCTGCTACTTTATTCGAGACCGTGCCAAAAGAAACAGTTCCGTATAACAAAATTCTGCGACGAGAAGACGGCGACTCCTCCATCGCAGGCTCACCAAAATCCCGCGGGAACCATCTGTTTCCTCTTTCGACAGGATAACAAATCTTCGTTTGTGGGGGCTGCTTACAATGGAACTTTCTTCGGGAGCACGCCCGCTCGAACGCGCCTTCTCCGAAATGGTAAGAACCCTGAGGACGGGGATGAAACGAGCGATGATCGAATCGTATGGGGACAGCGTCCCCAAGAGCCATTGCATTATATGTGTCGTACTAATGGTCCTCCGAAGGATGTCCTCTGCAGTCCTCTGGAATTCGATTTTCGTCCGATTTTTTGTTTGGGTGCCCCCCGAGGTACACAGGACGACACATTATTCCAAAAACGATGTTACCGATGATGCAACATTCATTCAAAGTTGAGCCCCAATCTCGTACGTACGATTGGACTTTGCAGAAGGGAAAGATGTTCCGGAAATGTCTTGAAATGTCGTTGTCCGGCGAGCGCTTAGCCGTGCAACCACAATAACTATGGGGAGCTGCGCTCTCTTGTCGTAGCATTGTTGGAGACATCAAATTTTTATGATAGAGCCTCTATCGATATTTTTATGAGACTTACTCTGTCCTGTCGCTATGAGAAATTCCGCAGGGAGTCCTATCGATAGGCCTCAGGCTCTCGTGATAGCGAATCGGCGAGACTCCTGCGATGCGCCCCGAATTCCTCGAAGCGCTGTGGAACTAGAATGCGATTTCGTTCCTCACGAGATTGAGAAAGGAAATGAGATGGTATTGAGAGAAGACCACCCTGCACAGCTCATTAGAGCTTTCTCCGTTGAACCGAATACCGAACATCCTATCCTCGTACTTACTATACAAAGTCGGAAAAATCAAGGGGATCAATGGAGCTCAGCGTCAGTACTGAGCGGTTGGAAAGTATAATACCTCATCGCGACGCCCCCCACGATAAGGTAGACGCTTTCACATCCACGGAGCAAGACGAGGGCAGAGTTCCTCTGGGCAGGGGATGTCAGAGCACCTATCACAGGACAACTATCCCCTCTCGACGATTCAGCCTGGTGCGCGAAAGATGAAGCAAGTTTCTACAGCGCTTGGAACTCGGAACACCCGGGGGAGGAGGATCCGAGATGCTCGACTGCAATATTCGAATGTTGACGAGGACCAGGAGAACGCCGGATGATCCCCTTAGATCACAAGATTAATAGCTGATGATGCCATAAGGTATACCATAAGGAGCAAGAGGAATGATTCCGTCTCACAAGGTAAAGGCAGGGTAGCTTCCTTCCACTCAACCGAATTCACAACAGATGGAATCGCGGCCCGAATGTAATAATATATATTAATCCAACGCCCTGTGCCACCATAGAGGGAGGTTTTCTCCGCCTACTGATAATCAAATCGAAGCAAATCTCTTCGAAGTGGAATGATTCCTTGCTCTTCGAATGTTCGTCCCCCTCTATGTTCGTCCCCCATCAATGTTGCGTAATGCGCCTCCTCTAGGTCTCATACTACACATTCGGACGATGCGATCAGAACGCGCGCCGTTGCCAGCAAACTTCAAGCTCTCATGTCCTCGTTGATCAAGCATATATTACTTACCCGGAGAGTCGTCCCGAAGCTTTGCTCAATATTTCGAGCCCTCATCGAGACTCTAGAGAAGGTGACCCGGTCTCCCTCGCGGGAAAAATCGCCCCGGATTTATAACCTCACGGAGCGTGAGAGATCGAACGACGATACAAGGTATTGTCGAAGTAATCTAGGTATCAACTCCCAAGAGCGAGACTCCGGAGATTCCAGTCTCGTCAAGAATTCTTTTCGAGTAAGGCTCCCGACAAGATTGGACACGCTCAGAACCGACCGCCAGCATTGGCCGAGAGGAAATATCTCTGCCTCCGCTTCCGATCCACTAAAAGCTTTCTCGATCAAGGAACAGGTGCCGAATTTCTTCCTACTTTCCGAATCGGGTCGAACTCTCCGGCTGATCAAATCTCACAGCGTATTCCCTTGGGTGCTTAGCCTCCGGGATGGGGACGCTGATGACCTGCTCTAACGAAGCTCCTCGTGAATGGAATGCGGAAAGAGCCTTCACTTCCTATTTCCATGCTCGGCTGGAGATGATGGGAAGTTCGGGGTCTGTTCTCGGGAATCGGTTGCGTGTGCGAGAAGTTTATCGCGAAGCTCTCGCGGATGACTCGATTTCGCCCTTATTGACTTGTCTGCATTTTGTGTCAGGGTTTTTGATTCGACTCTAACGGATATCCTCCCATCCGGTTGGAACACGCACTCTCGATGCACATCACATTACGCGGAGGACGACTGGACGGGTTGAACGCATAGAGCGCATCGCGGCTCTCATTTCGATATGCAAGTTATTGGCCCACAAATTGGCACACAGACTGGCGAATCGGAGGAAAATCGACGAGAGAGGCACGGAGAGATGATGGGAAGAGGCTTGGTCAATGATGAGACAACATGATACTCTGGCTGTCACAGATAGGAGATCGATGCCTGTAGATCACGTCATCTGTCGTCGTCTGTCCTCTTTCCCAGAATATTGATGGCGATAAATTGAATAGGAGCACTCAATGATATCCGGTACCAGAGAATCGGATACTCTCCGAACCCGATGCAGAAGTTGATCCTTCTCGCGACGATCGCTTCCGCGGAGGTCCCTACCCCTGCCCCAAGAGGGCGGGGATCCGATAGAAGAATGGGTAAACTAAGAGTCAGGTTTCATAAGTGCCGCCAGCCCTGATTTGGAGCAGCGGAAGAGACGATTCGGTAGCCCTCAGCGGGCGCTACTCCTTTCATTTTATTGGGTCTGTTGATTAAATCTTCACATCGGCTATGTGATCCATATGAACTCGTTGCTGGAGGTCGTAATGAAGATCTCGATATGCAGCCTCGGGTATGGCCTCATTGCACCTGCGAGGAGTAGAAAATGATCCTCATATTGGTGGCCCAGAATGTTGTTCGAGTTTATCGGGAAGCCGAGGACGACCCCTCTTGCGACTCTCCAAAGACTCAGGAAGTGATCCTTGACATTTCTCCGATGGTGTCATTGTGATTATAAGATCGACTACCCTCGACTTGCATTCTCTGTAATCCCTGGGAAACTTTTTTCCGCGACTCCAAACTTATTCGCTCCTTGATTCTGATACTTCGCCGGAAAGCCCCGTGGGCAGCCTAGAGCAAGGACCAAGCCCCACGAAAGCGAAGCCCAATTAGCCTTCAGGAAGCCCTGATCACCACCCGATGATCTATGGGCCCGACAGGAAGCGCAAATCACTTCTGTTCCGAGAGCCCAGCAGCATAGTATACGATTCGGGTGGAAATGTCTCGCCATCTCGTCTGTTGCCCAGCGCATTGCTGGGAGCCGAGGATAAGAAGCCCTACCCTGGAGCTCAGAAGAGAGACAGATTGAGGCTCCTCCTGCTCGTGAGTGTCATCTATTCTACTCTCAGCGCTCGTGTTGAGGTCGGGGAGGAGACCGTTCCGCTTCACGAGAGTGATGTTCCCGATCACGCTTGTTCCACTATCTGAGCTCGCGAAGTTTACAGCGCGAAGCGTGAATCGGGGGTATTCATCTGATTGTGAGTTCGCTTGTATTTGGGTGCGTCGAATGAGAATCCGATGTGACTTTAGGAGTCTCGTCGGAATTCTCACATCTCCGCAATGGAGCTTCTATTTGATCGACTAGCTGGGAGCGAGATACCAATGAGCTATATTCTTGCCTATGGATTGAGCCAGTCGGTGGAGTGGTCTCCAACAAGCCATGAGCCCTCCATCGTCCTTCGTCCGACTAGATAGCTCCGCTCGCAATCTGGTTCTTCAAATTCCCCTGATCAGAAGTCCGAGCCAGGTCATATTGCACGTCACGAAAGCCTATCAGTCATCCTTCCTACAATTGAGGCTCTCGGGAATGGTAGAATCTACTCACCTATAAACCAGGTCCGACCATATGATATTTTCCTGGGAGAAGCAGAACACACCAAGACGTCCCCCTTTCAGCGTTCCATCGAGTATGTTGCCTAGAATGCGGAGTATCGTACGTCATCCCTCGATACGATCGGGGAGAAAGGCAAAGAGAATCGGATCATAATCATTGATGGAGGATCGACTGATCACGTCGATGACGATTCATCGATGCATCTATCATCATATACATGTTTGATTGGATTCCAGCAGGAGAGAAAATAGACCAACCCGAGTCGGCGACCATATTCTGTCCCTCGAAAATCCGGAGTCGCATGAGCCCTATGTTCGGGCGGTGAAGTAAGAGCCACCTGTCAATGAGAATTCTCCCTCTGATCGCCATTAATTACGAATTATAATGCTCAATGAGGCAATGGGGGCGGAGGAGCCTGACATGAGGCGGTCATTTCGACATCGAGGGTATCAGCCCTGTATCGGGCTTACCGATATGCTACTTTCTCCTTCCATCCGACGTTCCGAGGATCCTTCCACAAGAGATGAACTTGATTGGTCGTGTTGCCTGAAATGGGACCCTCAGAGATATGTCCATGGCACGAGCTCGGGGCGATATCTTGTCGTATTTATCCCTGAGAGCGGAAAGGGGAAGGCGAATCCCTCGAGCCTTTTCCCTCACGGAGACGACACCGAAGGACCGCAGCTTCGGCTGCTTCAATTATGAATGTTCGCCTCCGCTTGTCCCCGTAAACCTGGCCAGTTGAGATCAGAAGCGGTAAACATGGATCCTGGAGCAGCAGAAGAACTTGCCTGTGTGCCAGAGCGAATTCCGGAGATATTCCCCGGGGCCAGTTTCCGATTGGACGAGTTTCAGCTGTATGCCTGGCTGCGCAGTGGCCTTGAACGGGCTGCTATGCCAATAAGTTTGGGTCTTCTTCTTCCACATCACAGTGTAGAAGTTATGATTGTCCTGCAATTTCATGCAAGAATATAGCTTCTCGACAGACCGATCGGATTCTCCAAGCATCGAACATTCGTTTCCGGCCCGTTTCGCTATCGTCCGCCCGCATATGATCGGATACAGATAGAAGTAGCCGAATTTTTTTAGCGACCGCTAAAACACCCCGACATCATCCGATGGATCTTTATCCATTCTTTCCTCATGGCAAGGATCATGCACGGAATGCCTACCAAAAATCCACGGTATTTGATGGCTACCATAGATCAGTCAGAGATCAACGGCAGTCGGTGCGAACCGCGCAGAATCCCGACGCCGCACCGGTGGATTCTGTTGGAGTATGATGATCTAATGATCTCTAATGATTAGGGTATGTCTGATAGGCTTCCAAACCTGATAGCTGAAGATGAATCCGACGTAATCATCGTCAGTTGCAGTATCGACGAAGAATGTTCCCTCGAAATCTACACCGCCGAACTTGTGGTAGCCGACGGCAAGGCCCGGATCCGAGTTGAGCGTCTGCACGATTTCCGCGCCCTTGTTGTAAATTATCTGCGGGGAATTCAGGCGGACGACATCAGCCGGATGCTCGGATTCCATCCCGCAACTTGAGCGACCTTGTTGTCGATTGGCTAATGCTTGATCGCCAGTCCCCTATCCCCAGGCGTCACGGTCTCAACTCTCCAGCTGTGGTGCGTGTTCTTCCCATGATAATTTGAAGAGGATCCCGTTTACTGGGTGTCGATCTATCTGAGCGGCTCACCCAATGAGGATCGTTCTGACTGTCTCCTTCGGGATCGAGAACAACGGTCTGGTATGCTCTGAAATCCGTCGCATAGATCCGTCTATTGTCCGGACACACATCATCGTCATCACCGATCCCGTCACCGTCGAAATCGCCTTTGCAAGCATCACCGACACCTGTTCGATTCATGCCAGGATCCTCAGATCTCATTCCCTTGAACACGCGGACAGAATTCTCGAGCAACAAGTTCTCCACGTCCGTGAAAAGCCCTCAACGCGGATCGAGACGCGCTGGGGGACTCAGTACAGACCTGTCACATTAGAATCTATCTGGTCGGGATTGAATACCAGAGGGCAATTGTCGATGTTGTCTCGGATCCCATCATTGTCCTTATCGAAGTCACAAACATCACCCTGCGGAACAGAGAGAGGGTTCATGTGAGAGTCTCTTGCGGGAGCGTCCGTGGACGCGACCACCTCTACCGGATTCCGGCATCAGTCGAGTCCCATTACACGATCAATTTCTACACCATGACCTCAGAGTACAACATAATACCACCCTCTTACTCTGAATACTATCGCTCTGCTCATTAACGGTATAATTCAAAGAGGCAAATCGCCCCGGAATATTTCATTCCCGAAGTACCTACATACTGACCTGTCCATCATCGTCGGTATCGAGCTGATCACTGTTCGCATCGTCGGGGCAATTATCGGCATCGTCTTGGATTCCTACCGGAAAATGCCAGCTTCGTGACTCCCGTCGACGGTGAGGGTTCATTTCGGGGGAATTATATTCATACGACCAGGACTTGACACCTATGTTCACATGACGGGTACATGGATATTCTCGCATATTTTTCGACGCAATCACCAAGGCTCACCGTCGAAATCCCTATCGATATTGTTATCGCATGCATCACCGACAAGGTCTTGATCCACGTCTTCTTGATTTGGATTCACTGACAAAGGGCAGATGTCGCAGGCGTCTCCCAATCTGATATACGATATACGAATTCGGATTAAATGAAACAGACTGTCGTCGGTACGGTCAAAATGAGCCTTTGATCACTTTCTACGCTCAGCTCACCCGTCACCGTCTCGATCACTCTGATCCGAATTCCTTACGTAAGGACAATTATCACCATGATTCGGGACACCATCGCCGTCAGCGTCAGGATCGCAATCGTCGCCTTGACCGTCCCGATCAGTGTCAATTTGGTCGGGGTTATAGACGAGAGGACAGTTGTCGCAAGCGTCACCCCAGTTGTCAACACCTTGAATTTCACCAAGAAGCGTTATACAGATTCGTCATGTATCGGGCACTCTCGGTGGATCTGAATTTCTGGAGAGAATCCGTAAGAGCATATCCCACCTGCTAGATCTGTGTTTCTCTGGTCGGCGTTCGGGACGAAAGGACAATTATCTGGATAATTCGCCACGCCGTCGTTGTCGGCATCGGGGTCACAAGCGTCCCCGAGATTGTCTCCATCGGCGTCTTCCTGTCCGGAGTTCGGTATGTTGGGACAATTGTCAGCTTTGCACCTTTTATCCGAGCAAGGCAAGGTGAAGTCGGGCCATCCATCAATGTCTCTATCGGGTGCACACATCCGCCCGTCCCCGGCGAAGCCTATTTTGCACCGACATTGAAATCTGGAAAGATCACCTGAGCAACACGAGATCCATATGCGGTCGATCTACGTCTCCGCCGCCCTCCTCATTCCTCACAGAGCTAGACGGTCACAATCTGAGCAAGTCCTCAAAAGTGAAGTTATTTTGGGAATCACAATCGTCCGAACGAACGCGATCGCCATGAACAAAGGGAAAGTGATTGATCGGGAGCGTTATATTCTTTCCCTCTCGTCGGATCCTTGCCAGATAAGTCATATGTTCTTCCTTGCGGATTCAAATGGAGATTTCCGTTTCGCCCTCCCTAGTGAGCATCCATGCTCCGAGGGTCTGTCTTCCATATTTAGAGTTACGTCTCATAACGCACCTCGTGCTCCCTCGGCGCATGAAGCATTCTGCGTTGCCGTCGCATTCGGTGCCGTCTGGACACAGTCCTGGGCGTGGTCGACACCCAACAGACTGGTTTCCGATGAAACCTGGAATATTCCCGAGGTTTCGGAGAGTTCATCCGCATGCGTCGGTTTCAGGATATTCCGACATATTTGTAGAACGTCTCCAATTTCCGAAAAAGCGCCGAAGTCTTCGTTTTATGAAGTTTCTCGGTCAACCTCCCAGAGACAAACCTTCAATGCAGTCTCCGCAGCGGTAACTGCCCAGAGTATTGATGCACAAGGAATTCTCAACGCATCCACCGTTGTTTCCATCATCACATTCGTTTTCATCAAAACATTGCTGCTTCATGTAACGAGCCTGTTCGTTCCCGTTGCCTGAATAAAAGCCACCTTGGGAGATTTCTTCAAAGAGCAAAACGGCAATCCTTCCGCATGCGAATTATCGTTATTGGTGAGCAGAATTCGGCACTCATTGAACACTAGTCCCAATAGGTAGGAGGAATGATTAGGGCTGATAATTTTCCCGTGGAAACCCCCAATCCCGAGGGGAAAATGCTCTTCAAAGTCTTTCATGCGTTCGAGATCATTGCGGGCCGTGATAGGGGGTCTCTCGGTCCAGCTGTATCTGACTGGTGGACGACCGCCACAATCACGACATTCTACGAAGCAATGAAAAAGGAGAACCAGACCAGACGAACTTTCAATGCGGCTGCCGGAATATCCAGGAGGACACAAGCCGCAGCTGAAGCCCGGCTTGAGATTCACGCAGGCCACGCCTGAAATGCAACAAAGTTCGAGCTTACTGCAGCTTTGATTCTCGAGCAAAGCAAGGATAGAGGAACATTCCGCTCGCCTCACCGCGGAAGCAGGGTTGATACAGACTACACTCGTCAATGTCTGCGCATTCAGTTCCGTCTCCGACGGTTCCTTCGGGACATTGACCGCACCTGCGAAGAGACTTCAGGTAGATTCGTCTTGGAGCTAGTAGCTGGCTCCTAGCTTTGAACATTTGACTTTCGGCCTCCCCAAGCGAATCGGCAGATTGGGACGCATTCTCCAGGCGTTTATCTAGTCACGGCAGTCGCCAGCCGTGCAGAGTGGCGCCGATGCGGTGGTCGAAATGGCCGTTCGGAAAGTCTATCCGAGAATCACCACGTCTGTCACTCTGCGCGATGGTGTAGATCAAGGGTGAAAACGAGGCCGGAGGAGGGAATTGATCGCACAAAATCACAGTATAGAGGTCAATGGCGAGCTCAAGCCCCTCCGGATGCTTAGTGAAACCGACTACACAGAGCTATAAGGGAGTAATCGGGCTCCGGAATGATGACACCGTTGGAGGAGGACAAGGATTAGAATGCGGCCCCTCAAGTATCCGAGAGTCTTCCCAGAGAGCCGGAAAATTCCGGACGGAGGCACTTGAACGGTTGTCGGGTCCGAATTCAACGTCGAATGGCTCACCGAAAACCTGGCGAAGTATCGATGTTCGTGCATTTGACACCAGGGTGGCAAGGTAGGTCGCTGCATCGATTGGCCCAACGACATGTCGCGCCGTCACCCCTCATCCCGTGGGGACATGGACCGCAAGAGAAGCCCCTCTCCGAGTCTGCGAAGAGAGGTTCCTCCCGAGTTTATTAGATTCGATTTCTCCTATCCTATTCGATGGGTTCGATTTCTCCTATCCTATCCTATCCGATGGGTTCGCATCTGCACTGTACCATCTGAATGCATGCTTTGTGGTAACCATGGAGACTTTCCATCCACGTCAGAGCTGGCCAAATCAAATTCAAGAATGACCCGGCTGCGGCTCAGTCGCCGATATGTCCTTGAGCATCAAAGCCCAGAAATGGCTAAAACGCCTTTCACAGTGGATGAGCTCTACGAACCTGAGCACGACACACCCGGATAACAGGGGCGATCCCGGCATGTCGTCGAGGGTCTGCACTTGACACCATCTCCAAGGAGACCTGCTGGACATGGGCCGCAAGTGGGACCTGACGGAGTCTCTGTGCATTGGACACCTGGGAAGCATACATGACTGGAGCAGGAGTTCCCGGGCGCTGCGCTCATGCACAGTCCGCATCTGCAAAGTAGGAGCTAAGGGACGCTGTTCGAAAGCCAGATTTAGAGCCCACCTTCAGGAGCCTACCTTTCTATGAGTTGATGCAGCCGATTCAGAGCAGAGATCTGAGTTGTCACTAGTGATCGAAGAGCCTCCACATCATCTCTCAGATTGGATGCATCAGCGCCGAGATGACCTGGCGTTGTACAAGGCTGGGCGATTTTGGATGGATGCCTCAGACGATGGATCTTATTAACCGAGGAAACACTCTCCGATGATTCTTTCACCTGGAACGAAGCAGGGGAGACGTGTTTCCTCGCGCTCGCTGAGCCGCCCGAGTATGCGGTGCTAATCAGCGGGCCTCGCCTTCATCACTATGCTTTTTCCGCGGAATTGCGATGGTGTATTTTCTGAACGACCCTCTGGATATTTGTTGTTAATATAATTGTTTCACTGTCTCGTAGGAGGAAAGCTCAATCATTGAGGAGCAACGTCCGGAGAGACCAGGGAGCCCTAGGATAAAATGGCAGTGCGTCCTCCCGGAAGAGCCAAGCTGTCGTTCCTGAGTTTTGCGTTCAGAAAGAAAGGTTGAATGCTAAGTAGAATGCTCTCGGGACGAAGCTATCTGGGAGCACAATTACAACAACTCTCTGAGTCTGACGATCTGAACAACTCGCATCCCTTCACATATGTAAGGTATTTATGCCAGAAGCCCATGGAATTTGAGGGATAGAAGCGCAAGCTCCGATCTCCAATGAGAAGATTGTCGGATTCCACGGCTACTCTCGTTTTGTTTCATTTTCTATATTTAGCAAGATATCACTCGATGTATCGTCCTTTCGGAAGGAAGCAATATGCTCTTTCTCTCTATGAGGACAGGTTCCCATTCTAGTATACCACGTAGCATCTTGGAATGCCTCATGAGGGGATCGGAAGACAAGAACGGCTTGCCGCCTTCCAGAATGAAAATGATATGGACCGCTCGATTGGAACAGAGCCTCTGTCTAAGTAGTCACTCTTCGAGCCACACCCCGCAAGTCCGGCGCGTTACTCCTCTTCGTCCATCCCGCTCTTAAAGTAGTTTGGCTGCGACGGTGATCTACGATACCTCTCATAGGGACCCCTACCTCTCGCCCGGGCTTGATTAGCATGGGGCACAATGATAATCCCGATAACTACCACTCACAATTTCGTTCGGATGCGCCTCGCCAAGTCCATTCACGCACATTTTTGAGATTCTCCCGATAGTTGAATCGGATGAGTATTCGTGGATAATAATGTTCGCTCTTCTATCTCGCATGACGCGCATTGTCTGCGAAGGAATGACGTGAGACTTCTAATATCGCCGTGGAGAGCGAGCCTCATGGCTTAATTCACTTTTAGATGTGCTTCGCTTTCTTCACCTGAGCTGATTGCACTTGCTGATATAGCGGAATATTAGCCGTGAGATGATGCTGGAGCTCGCAGTCGAAGAAGAACGAAATCTAGATGAGGAATCATCGGGATAGTTGCTGATACGTCTCATCCTCGTTTCGTGCAAGTCTGATATCGAGAGCAACACTCGTTTACCTTATTGGTCAGAGCGTCGCATATTCCGTCTATGAGAATGATTATCTCTTGAGGCAAGACTCGGTGGGGTCCCGACAGAACTCTCGTATGGCCTGGAAGGATCAACAATCCTAATTGTCGTATTCATATCGATGTTATATCACATTCAAAACGGTCTCGCAGTGCTCTTGAACTCCATTCCGACGGAGGCGTGTACAGGAATCCCTGGTGAGTGTTTTTGCAACTGTCTTATTAATAGAATCTTCATGAAAAACAGAGAAGATCGAAGTACCTAAGGAGGAGATAAACCTCTCCATACAAGTCGAACTCGAGTCGGCATGCTGACTATCCAAGAAATGAACAATCAATGCCATCGAAGTGGGATCCCCGGCTCGAAAAGCAAAGGGGCGGTGTACCTATCGTGGTAACCGTCATTATATAATTCTATCATTGAACCAGAATAGAGCCGTGCAGGATGATCGAGCCCGCCAAATAAGAGCCGCATGATGCGCGGCGTCCCACCCCGCACAAAATTCTCAACTTCAACAGAAAACCCTCGCGTGTCTCCTGGAAGACTTTCAAAGCTCTCTGAACTTCAGTCGTCCTTCGAACGAGCAACAAGGGGACGGATACTCGTCGGAGCGAGTCTCAGAGGCTTTTCAAGTCGAACGGAAGGAGAATAGAATGCTCATGACTCGTTCCGTTATGATTCAGATCACATATTGTTGTGAGGGGGTTAGATTCTTCCGGCAGATTGCAAGAGGGAGGCGCTTTCGGTCTATTTACCTTGTGTTGAGAATCCGAGGCGCATGATCTTCTTGTTTTCCAGTGATAATGTCAGCCCTGAGCGCGTGGGGATCGTAAAGATGTCCAACAAAGCCTGATCGTTGAGCGCATGCCGAACGACTGTGTCTCTCAAGACGATCGCTACTGACTGGTTAGATCTGCGGAAAATCACGCTTTTCGTATCGTCCCTTGTTGGAGCAGCGGAAGCGACGGAATCCGACTCGCGATGGCGGACTTGTCAGTTCCTAGGCTATGCAATTTTTTCTCCTCTCGTTTTCTGATCTCCGTATACACAGGGAGAGGTGAAGAGTCCTGCGGCCGTCTGCTGCTCAAGGGAGATGAAAGCAATGTGCCGATCGCCTGGTTTCCCTCCTTCTCAGGGCTCGGCGCGCCGCCGATAAGAAGGCTCATACCAAATTATCCACCTTAGATGTCGATTTTCTCGCGTCTGCCCCAGCAACTCGCAGTGAGAGATTGATTCGGTACTAGTCCAGAAGGCCCGGTGATTCCTCATCCCATTCAAATCAGGTAATCAGGAGGCTTTGAGAAGTCTCGGAGCACGTCCTGTTAGGACGGACTTCGAAAGAGCTGAAGACTTTTCCAAATGAGCGCGAGATGCTAGAATATTGAAGGAACCGTATACATGGCTCCTGGTGTTCGAAACTGGGAAGTCTCCCGTGGAACAAGTATTGCGAGTAGCAAACGTTTCTCGCAACGAATCTCGCGAAAACGGGAGCTGGAGCAGACAGTCTCCACAGCAAGCTTCCCTAGACCGATTATTTATCGGCCGTTTGGTCTGGTACCTCATCGAGTGGGTGAGAAACATATGCTTCGAAGAAATCGACTTATCCTTGCGATGTTCGGAGAAATGAGAGATAACATGTTCCAGAACATGCACAACGATTGGTACGATTCCATGTATTTGTTTGAATGAAAAAGGAGACCGTCGGTTGTCGCGGAGCGTATGAATGTACCGGGACGACGACGAGCGCTTAACCTCAGAAGACACGAAGGGAGCGAGAATCAGTAGAAGTCTGTCTTCGAAGGATATTATCGTCTCTCCTCCCGCTTTCCCTCGCATGACATCTCGCAAACCGCCGAGCTTAAAGGAGCCGGAATTTTTGTTCAGAAATTCTTCCAATCGAGGGACTGCTTGAAGCCTCATGGGAAGGAGTTTCATTATTAGTGATTATTTGGGCTTGACTTATCGATTGGCAGTTCGTGTTACTCGAGGGCTGTCATGCAGACGTATGTATGCCGGGAAAAAGAGTTGCTACGTCTCGCAAGGGGACTGGCTTGCACAGTCCTGTCAAAAACACGATCTGCTTTGCTGGGACGAACGTCGCAGCGGTAAGTTCCAACTCTCCGCTCAAGAAGTTCTGCAAAGTTTAAAGTTTCCGGCGAAGTACTCCACCGACTTCATCAAAGATCCCCAGCGGGTGAGAATCGTCTCCGGGGAAAGGGCAGTCAGACTCTCTCTCCGAAGAGCGAAGTAAGACTCGGAGACTTGAGGAGTATCTTCTTTATCGGAGCCATTAAGCGTTTTACCGCGGAAAAGGACCGAGAACGTTGCAAACACTCTCAGCCTCAGCCGAGCTATCGCTGGGATTAGGAACGTCGGTCTCGATTTGGCGTGCACTTGAGTGAAAATGTCTCAAGCAAGGTTGGACAGGCGACGGAGAAGAAAGACCGCCAGAGCTGAGGCTCATCTGAGAGAGTTACACTTGTATCCTTGTATGAGTACTAATTGCATGGATATATTCGCGAAAACATGCTTCGAACAACGAAAGATGCGTATCAAGCCCGAAGGCGGCGAAATGTGCGAATATGTCTGAAAATAATTTTTTGAAAGCTACATCCGCTCGCTTTCTGGGGGCTCTTTCTTCCTTTAAAATTCCAGATCAATCAAAATACCAACCTCAGTAGATGCAACAACTTTATCGCATTCTCGTGATCGTACACCAAATACTTCGATTTCGGAGAACTGAGTCCGTGATTCGGGTGCAAAACGGCGGAGAGCAAGAGTATTTGCCACATCTCGAGCTTCTCAGCGCACGCACTACAGATGTCGACCTCCCTGAGAGCTCTCTGCGGAGCAGGATCGAGATGAGTCTCAAACTCGAACACCTGGTGGGCGTAAGAAAGTGAAAAGATCGTGGGAAGTTCGAAATGTACTCGTTTTTATCGGCCTTCCTCTTGTTTTTGGGACATCTGTTCCGGATTCCGTCAATCTCGATTCCAGAATATATGAATGCGGTGACCGATGAAAACTCTCTCCAATCGATTTCCACCAAACTTTCTTTTGTAATGATTTTGTCATCCCCGGTAGGTTATCGCCTTAGACGGCTCTAACCGGCTATTAGCACGGTATGAGAGACGGCAGAACGAATGCTTCTCGTAAGAGGCATACGATTTGCGGACTTTGCACAAGGATCTCTTCAGGCAGAGCAAATCTCAGAGTTTGCCTCAGTCTCGTATCAGATGTGAGAAGGGACTCTGATCGACAAAGCAGTCGGCTGCGGCTCGTGGAGAAAGCTCGCAGCGACAAACTCGGAGAGAATCCGCATAGTGAACAACTTGGCTATCGGAGACGTGGTTACCAAGCGAGCAGGAATTCTTCATTGGCCGGGGCTCTAGCTGGAGATACCGATTGGTGACGCCGCTCAGAGCACTTCCCACAAAAAATCCGAGCTTCGTTCGCGAGTTGGGGGTGACATTCATCAGCGAAGGCATCAACCACCTAGTCTCCTGACCCTCCAGGGTGAGACGAGTCCTTTTTGGAATCGGCAGATTGAGGTAGGCATTAGGCGCATTAGATCTCGGAAACTCTACTACTCCATCATGCACAAATCGATCTCTTCCTGCGCTCTCGGATAAATTCAATGAGAAGACCCCGCTGGATAGCAAAGATGAAATGTCAAAATACTTCCGCCAGATCTCCTTCGATCAGAAGCACGGGGAGCTTTCGAGGAATATACGCATTCCACAGAAGAGGGAGGAGGTGCACGTGAGCGCCGCTTTCATTCTTCGAAACTGATTCGGAGTCATATACCGACATGAGATCCACCGTGACGGGGGAAAAGAGTCACAGCCGATGACCAAAAAGGGGGAAGAGCCTTCCCGGGAAAATAAGGGTGACGCGTTGAAAACCCCGCTCCGGATAATAGCAGACGACTGATTGTGAGTTGCGGCAGCAGCACAACACTACTTTGTATCTCATATCCTCCTGTGGATCGCAGCCCAGCGATCTCTGCTAGGCTGTAATTGAGTAGACGCTGATTGGGGACTGCTCAAATCCGTGTCATGGAGCTCCGGGAGCCCCTAATGGACGCCGAGGACGGCACGCGGCCGAGCTTGCAAGATGACTTCGCTTACAGGAATTGCGTCGCGAAAGCGAATGTTGTCATCCGCATGGGTGAGCTTTCCACTTTGCACAGCTGTTCAGTCAGTCATACCAGCTTGTACGATCATCGCACGAGTATTTTGTCTGTTCTTTGAGCAATGAATTATTTTCAGGCTTTTTGCGGAAGGTTTACGGCATCCTATCGGTGCAGCTGCTCGCGACGGTGTTACTCACGGCGACGTCGATGTCGATCCCGGCCGTAAAATTATTCATCAGCGAAAATCAATGGATGGTGCCCCTGAGCTTCGTTTGCTCAATGATCACTCTGTTCGCCCTGATCATTAACCGGCGGGAGACGCCTAGGAATTACGTGTTGCTGGGGATCTATGTCGGTTGAAAACTTGAAATTCTGCTCTTGGGATTCAATATAACAGTCTGCTGGCATCGATCGGTGAATGAGAAATGAGAAATACGTCGGTGTCTCCGTAGGGCTAAGCGATGTATAATTTTCGCCTTACAGACAGTTCTTCAAGCCTACACCATAAGCGTCGTGGTCTCGTTTTACGATCAGCTCGTTGTCCTGCAAGCATTCCTATTAACGCTCGGAGCTACTGCCGCTTTGACAGCCTATACCTTCCAAACTAGGAAAGACTTCACGACCATGCCAGCTGTGTAGGTGACATCACTTGTTCGCTAATGCCTCACAGAAAAAAAACAGTACCAGGCTGTGCTCGACTTCACTTTATCGTTTAGTCAGAGCTACTTACAGCATGTATAAGTCTCGTGAAATGAGACGAGCGCTTCGAGGATTCCGTTCTTATGCCTCGGGTTTGAGACTCTCCCAACTCCCGGAAAAGCTTTGTGGGAGCTCTGACAGAGCCTTGATGCCGGGAGCCAGATAAAGCGGACCTCCCCTCGAATTATTCTCCCCTCAAAACACCGTTGAGCTACATCCACGCTCCACCGCGCCGCTGCCAGTATCCTGCAACTCTCCGAGGCTCGAAAAGTGAGCACCTCTGGATTCGCGCAGGAGCATACCAGCAACGGGAAACGGATTTCCGAACGCGATTGCGGATACCCGGATAGAATGAGAATAGTTGGCTCCGGCGAGACCATCTGGATGCATGTCGATTCGGAGGATTCAATGGATCACATGAGTTTTGGTGTCTTAAATCTTCGTGACTCTCTTGCAGGCTACTGTCGTTTCTTCTCGTCTTGGTCTGCGGGCAGTTCATGAATGCCTTGTTCCCGTCTTCTTCTGGCGAATTCGTGGTCTCAGTTTTCGGCGCAGCGCTCTTCTGTGTTTTCATCATTGTCGATACGCAACTCATAATGCAAAGGACTTCCGCGGAGGACTACATGCTGGCTACGGTTGACCTCTATATGGACATCCTGAATCTGTTCCTCCATATCTTGCGAATTCTTGGTGAAAGAAAGTAGCACAGATAATTCACGCGATTGACATAAACGGTTGAATTCAACTCGAGCCCAATGGACGGGTGTGATTCAGTATTGAGATGCAGAGAGACGCTGGTGGCGGGTGACGCAGAAGGAAGGGTATCATGTTGAACAATGTCTGCGAAGGCTCTGAAGCAAGACCTTCGATGTATTCCGGAGCCTGAGGGGTCGGTTGAGCCTTACGGCGGCAAGGAGCCGAAACTACAGCGGTATTACAGCCTGATATTTCCTTGCTGGAACTTGGGTACAATACTTATAAGTGATGTCTTGCATTCTGCATGGACTCTGAGGAAAAGTTCCGTACATTTGTTCCGGAAGAAACTAGAGAGATATGAGTCATCGATGCATAAACACAGCAAAGAGACGCCTGTAGGTCCGTGGAAAGAAGACACCTGTAATTCCGTTGAAAGACGCACCGTTTATAACGACTGATGATAATGTATTCCATGTACATGACGAACTGCGTTGGGGCGGCCCCAAACGAAACGGTTAATAAAGTTTGAGACCTTGGAGACCGCTCCGAACATTCATCTCTTGGATTCTCTGCCGAGACTCCTCTTCTCGGAAGGCTTGTTTGCTCTGCTTTTTCTCTGCTCGACGTTCCCGCCGGAAGTCTTTAACTTGATTCTTCCGCGTTTTCCGATCAATGGAGGACTCATCCTTGGGCCGCTTCGCGGAGACAAGACTCGCTCTGCTACAAACCGACTTCGCGTAATCCTCGGATTTGAGAGGATATCCACCATCGAGCTGTCTTAGATTCTTCCTCGAGAGTCCGTCGTTCTCAACAGGGAGACCGCGTGAGCTGAGCTGCACCGCGCTCGTCTTTCTGCCGAGTTCTATCACTGTGGGTCGATTTAGAATATTGCTGTAAGTTGAAAGAATTGATTCGCAGTCCCAACTCTGCTCGGCTAGATCAGGATCTTTATCAAGACAGCGGAGTTCTTCGGTGGTCTCTGTCCGATCCAACGAACGGAGCACTCGGGTTCTCAAGTCGTCTTGTATTCCACCGAGAGAATCATCGACCTCCTTCCGATTAAGTCGAACTTCATTCTGATATCGATCAGCTAGTCTGCTCAAGGTGCTTGATCCGAGGGGCAGGCGTCCCTCTATAGCTTCGCCGTCGAGAGCTCCAATATCGCACTCATTGTACTCCTTGTCGAACATGTCCTCGAATTGTTCATCTAGTGATTTCAATCCTCCAGTTCGAGTCATCACCGAGCTGCTCAACGAATAGTTTGTGAATCTGCTTCGAGTTTCCTCTAGGGCTGAGCGAGCGAGCAGTGAGTTCCTATGAATCTTATTGATTCTCATGTCGTCGTTGTTCGCCGTCTCGCTCGAAGACTCATCTTCTCCATAATTTTCGGTATCGGAGCTCAAGAAGAACTCGTCCTCATCGTCAGGCGATGTGGTTTCACCTTTTCCCTCCACGAAGTAGAATCTTCTTGTTGACAACTCGGTATCGCCCGCTCCGAGATCTTCGATCAAGTTCGCGCCTCCCGACGCCAAGGCTACGAAATCATCCTCGAGCGCATCTTCTGCCTCAACGGAGCCCACAGCATCGTCGTCGAGGGCAGCCATTATATCCGGATCCCAATCCGGCTGCGGACCTGCATGCGTCAGACCCTTGTGCAGATGTCCCACACGCTCTTCTACGTGGGAAGCGAAAACTGAAGACGGTAGAAGGATTTGACTCTTCCTCGGCGAAAGTTCGACATGCTCCTTCTCGTCGACATCGTCTCCGCTTTTCTTGCCTTCGCTGATTCTCATCTGAAAATCAACACGCATAAATTCTAGACGTCGCCTCCAGTCGATTGACATCTTCAATCCAGCGGCCGGATACCGAGTCGATTCCAGATCAAACTGACCTGGATCCCGTCCTTATTCACACGAACGATCTTTTCCATTGTGCCAAGGACATGGACATCCCGCAAATGTTGGAGATAGTTGTAGTCGTCGTCGAAATAGATTCCATACTTGTGCTGCTCTTCGAGTCTGGAGGAAGATCGGACTTGCTTTAGGGCTACGAGTTCTGGTTTATCCCGAAAAAGCCATGTCAAACTATGGAAGCTATTCCCTCACCTTTTTTCCTCGTCAGCAGGCTTCCTGGGCTCATGGGAATCCGTATCTATGATCCTTTTCGTTCGTTTTTCCACGAGGACATTCTTCGGCGCAGTCTCATCTACGACCAATGGATCCACCTGGGAGGAGATACCTCTTTCAACGAAAAGTTTACCTCACCGAGAAAATAGCGACAGGTATTCGGAGGGACGAGCGGGATAGTCGTTCTCGTTCATCGAGCATGTTCTTGATAGGCACTCGAGAGACGAATAGACTGACGGGGCCTGCCATCGTCGACTTGAAAATCAGCTGTTGGGCTCCGTGATTCAAGAGTTCTGAATGACAGTGAGTGAGCTCCGAGCAGCGATCCTCGGGGGATCAGACGCAAGTGTTGTAGGACTCTAGGTGATCACCCCTCATCCCAAAATCCGGCATAGACCGGATTCATCTCAGAAATAGATAAGGGGTGGCCCCGGAGAACCTCAAGTCACGACTCACGGGGACATCGCGCGAGAGATCATGCCGGAGACCTCAGGCGACATGACGATTGGATTGAAGTTCGGCTCGAGAGGAGCTAGAAGAGCCCAGGAGGAGCCTGATACGACGCATCATTATAAGGTTGGAACTTGGAAACAAGATGAGGACTGGGGAGGACGAGGGAACATTTGATTCTAACATCGGTCTACCTCACGAATACAAATCGCATGAGACTGAGTGAGATACCAACAGATCCACGGCTGCAGGCTGGACGGAACTACTACACTCTTACCTGATTCCGTGGCACGACTTCGAACGTCACAGACTTCCTCGGGTCGATGAATCGCCGCTTGCGGTGCCTCGGCATCTTATCCGATCGCAGCTTTCAGAAAGCGTTGAAATACAGAATGTGCTCAAGCAATTGAAATCTACCGCACGTGTGCTCCCTCCTGGCTGGCTTTGCTCTTCTCTTTGTTTTCCCCACTTCTCCCACACACACAGCGTGAATATCGTCTGCAAAGTCGTCTGCAAGACAGCGTAAATATTGTGACTTGTGAGAGCTGTGAGAGTGAGGGAGAGCGCAGTAGTTGTTTCGTTTCGCAGACGCCACTTCCTTGAGTCAGTGTTGTTCTCTGCCGAGCGCTGTGCGCTGCTGCTGTTATTCTGTTTCGAGCTGTGCTGCTGCTGTTGTTACGTCGTTGCGGCTTGCGGCTTCCCCTCTACCACTGATGATTGCGGTGCCCGTGTTCCACATTTCTATTCAGCACATCACGCGTTGTTGAACTCGCTGACGATCTTAACTTCGTTCGGCACCCCAGTGGCTCCGAGCATAAACGTCAAGCGAGACCCATGTGCTGAGCGACCGAATCCAGAGAAGCAGCTGAGTAGGGGGTGAGCTTCGATAAGTTATGCATTCTGCTTTGAAATATGCCGTACGATTTTCGGAAACTGTCTTTATTGTATATCCGAGTCTCCCATGCCTGAAACAAGTTTTGAGGTAGCGACTTCGGCTCTGAGCGACATCGTAGTTTGACGCGAATAGTTTGTTGCGCTCGACCCTCCTAATCGACTTGAACGAGATTCTGACGCACGTGAACGTTCCCTCCTTCGTCGCGAGAGGCATTTAGCTCCTTTACTGAGACAACGATTAGAGTTGTGATGGATTCAAGCGAGATGACAACACCATGCGTTGCTTCATACCTCCTAGAAATCTTCGGTGAATCTCGTGATGACGAATTTGTGTTCAAGGTATCGTCCGACATGTCCTAATCGAACGAGATCATCGCTCAAATCGACGACTCCGATTTCGGAGAATCGCTGTCCCTCCAGATTGCGTGTGCAGCCCTGCCTGCGGCGTTCCCTATTCTATGAAAGACTCAGTGATCGTAGGCGTAGATTCCACACGACAAGCCCGACCATACGTTAGTTCTCGTTCCAATCGGAGGTTTCCCTACACTTCGATATCTCATCATTCGATTCGTCGGAAAGGATATGCCTTCAACGCGATATCATTCTCGTTTCCAGGGTCGAGAGCGGAGATATGGCTGATGCTCCGAAATGCGGACCGTCTTGCAGGCGTCAGATCCGTCTGGATGCCTTCGACGAAATCAACGAGAGACGAGTGGACGACGTGTGTCTCACAATTTTCTATAAGCCGCACACGATCTCGCTCCTGTTGGCCTTCATAGCCTTCCTCATATATTTCGCTTTCACGAGAGATGATCAGATATTGGAGGACAACTTATGGGATGGACTTCTTTGCGTCTTCTTTTTCTTCATGATTATCTCCGTGCTGGCCTTTCCCAATGGTCCATTTACGCGACCACATCCTGCTGTTTGGCGAATGGTTTTCGGTATGTCGGTTCTCTACCTCATGTTCCTGATCATCGCTCTCTTCCAAAGTTTTGAAAACCTGCGGCAGATCCAGTATTGGTTTTTCCCCGATCTGAAGTATTTCCACATTGACTCGGAAAAAGAGTACGGCGTCGACTGTTGGAACATCACACTGGAGAACATCTGGTCACACCTCGACGTTTTCGTAGTAGGCCACTTTTTCGGCTGGACCATGAAGGCTGTTCTGATTCGCCACTACGGAATCTGTTGGACGATCTCGGTCACTTGGGAAATCACCGAAATGGCATTCGCGCATCTGCTGCCGAACTTCGTCGAATGCTGGTGGGACGCCGTCATTCTAGACGTTCTCGTCTGCAACGGACTGGGCATTTGGTTCGGCATGCAGATATGTCGCTTCCTCGAAATGCGAACCTACAAATGGGAGTGCATCAAAGACATCGACAGCATATCAGGGAAATTGAGGAGGGCCGTGTTGCAATTCACCCCAGAATCTGTGACGAAACTCAGCTGGCTCGATCCAAGTTCGAGCTATCTCCGCATCCTCGCGGTGACTGAACTGGTCATCTTCTGGCAGATAACTGAGCTCAATACGTTCTTTCTGAAACATATATTCGAAGTTCCTCCCGAGCATCCTCTGTCTTTGGCTCGACTTGCCCTGATTTCGATAATCGTCGCGCCGACCGTGCGCCAGTTCTACAGCTATGTAACGAACACCCGAGTCAAACGAGTGGGCACTCAATGCTGGGTATTCGGAGCCATCATGATGACTGAAGCCCTCGTATGCATCAAATTCGGACTCAAACTGTTCGAGTCCACCAAAGTCTTCAACATCGTTGGCTGGTTGGTGTTCCAACTGGCTCTGTCGTGCCTTTGTGTCTACTTCTGCATCAAATGGCAAACGCGCTGCATCTCCCTCAAGAAGAAAAGAAGAGGTTTCGCTGAAGGCGACGCTTTGGATGCCCTCGATGTCTTGACTGAAGAGGACGACGAGAAAAAAGACACGTAGTGGTCATTCCGGGAGCCTCAAGGTCCTACAGTCATGCGAATACATTGCTCTATTCGATCGCTTTCATTCCAGGAAAGTGTTCGAGCGAAGCAGAGAAAACCTAGTTATGAGTCCGAGACACAGAGGACTTCGGACTTAGCAGGGAAACGATCAAGCGAGCGAAAGAAACACACGAGGACAATGTTCACTGAACTCCAGAGTGCCAACTCCGACGAGAGCAGAGAGTCCAGGGAGATAGTTCCGGAAGTCCGAGAGCTTCGTTTATCTTCTCGGAGCGGTCCGATGATCGAGACGCTCTCTATGATAGCAACTACCATAGTATTTTTTCTACATGAAGAATTGTGATTTTCCTATTGAGGCCCATGCGGGAACACTGCTCATTTATATAGAATCCTAGTCGTTGTATCGAACAACCTGGAGCCGCGTAATGTCGTGGGAAACAAGCAGGATCCGTGATAGTTGAGGCGGAAAGTTGAGGCGAATGCCGAAAGCTGTGATGACGCCGCCATCCGGAGAGCTCAAGGAAACCGGATTTTGAGGAATCTATCGATCAATCGCGCAAGCCGGAACTATGAAGTCCGGGTCGCAGGAACCTGCAGAGACTGACCACAACAATCCAGAGAAGTCGCTTGCCGGCTGACATGACACTCTTCAACTATCCCAGGCTGAAGCGCAAAACTGCAGCGTGTTCAATCTGGATCGACCTGGCAAGCCAAACGAACAAAGTCGAATGAGTGCGATTCGGAAGCTATTGCACGGGAGTCGCTCCTTCAATGAATGACTCGACCATGAGAGGAAGCTTTTTATGACTCGATCTGCGGCTACGATTTCCGGGCTCGCACAGGGCTTGCTACGCAAGGGGTGGCTCGTCCGGATTTTTTTGGGCGTAGTCGATCGCACCTTCTCCTGCTCTAACTTTATACAGCCTTGACACGCAGCTACCAAAGATTGTTGCAGTTCCATCGGCCCGTACAGGATATAACCTATTTTCCGTTAAACATGTAAAATATAGGTAGTTATAAGGGGGGTTCTCCAGAAGCGTTTCTTGGAGGAAACGCTATCGAGGTAGGACAGACGCACCGAGAGTTTTGGGAGAATACAATCGAAAACCCGCTCGGGACGTTGAATCGAGCCGGGAAAGCAACCTTGTTTTCTCTCAAATAAACTTGTTCAATGAGAATCCTTGAGTCCTCGATGAATGGCATGCAATGGTTCAGAGTCATAGAGGATAAGTACGCTGATGAAGAGGATTAGAGACACAGATCAAGAGCTCCAGAAAAAGAAGAGGCAAGCATCAGGTTCTCAGAGAGGAAGAGAATGTTTGCTATTCCTGAGAAATCCGTAGTCATCAATCATCACCATAAGCATCATGCTCCATGAAATTTCAGAGGAGGAGGAGGGGTTTCCGACTTCTCGCAGGAAGATACGATACGACCCGACCATGTCTACCCGGAAGCCGATCGAGTCCATCATTCTCCGATGCCCGGTCTAGATCAGGATACGCCGGCCGACTTGACCAACTGGTCCGTCAGCTTTCGTCACCAGTGTCTTTATTTGAAGATTGACAGGTGTTCGTAGAGCGGCCACGAGGGCCATGCCCTCCAGGTGGTATGACGTCTCCGAGATCATGGTACGCTGAGTGAGCGAGGACGGACTCTAATAAGCGAAATATCACTTGAAAACGTCGCACAATATGAGGAGTGGGACGGAGGGATTGGAGGTTCTAATATTGGGTCGGTTCGGGATAGCCTTGGAACGAGGGCACGAGGGATCGGATAGGATTATTCGTCGATTCTTCTGTATTCCTGAGGTCTCTGAGGAGATCGTCGTACAGGGCTGCGGAACGATTGAGGTAGCACTTGGGTGAACCAGCCGACATGATTGACGGAGGTCTGATCGAGTCCCTCTGACGAGCGCGGTGGCGATGTCATCGCTGTAGTTACTCCGTCGGATGAAAGGCCGACAGGTCTGTAATGCATTACACAACCGGAATCAGAGGAGAAATCGATCATCACCGCCACGGGTATGCGTTCCAGAGAGTCAGAGAGGCTCGGGTATGATGTCGAACGTACAGTACGGCGTCCTGGGTGTTTCTGCCCTCACGGAATGGTGGGTATTTCATTGTCGTGTGTCAGGAGTAGGCTTTGCAGCGGTTCCGGAACCGCGGTTCCAGAACCGCCAGACCCGCAAATTATTTGCGGGTCTGACCCGCTGGACCCGCAAGATTTTGGCGGTTCCGGCGGGTCTGGAACCGCAGAGTGGAGATCACCTAATTTCGGGAAAAGCAGACGAGCAGCTCTTGAAACTATCAATCATTCCGAAGAGTCAAGAGACCCGATGATTATTCTGAGCGAGGGAGGACTCTTCCGAGAACCCTGCCTAGATGCGCAGTGCTGGTCTCGAATTTAATACGATAGGCGCGAACATCCAGGCCACGAAATGTTCCTAAAACGATTCTGTCAGCCCGAGGGGGGAAAAAACCCACGGGGAGGCGGATCTGTTCTGAGCCATGCATGTCAATGCACGAAAACAATTCCGTGAAACGTCGCTGAGCGTATTCTGATCCTGATCCGATTCTTCTTCAGCGCAAAAAAAATTGCGTATCTTACAGTAAAATGAGCGGATTCTACCCAGTCACCTACCCCAAGAGCTGGGTTTGGTCGTGGTTCCTGAAGAGACATACCCAAGCACAGTGCAACGTTTGCACGAAGGTGAGCGTTTCTCTGACCGAGTTGGAGGATCCTCCGAAGAATCTCGTATGGTGGTGAAAAACATGTTAACATGAGTCCCGAACTCTATCTCATTCTCCTCGCATCAGACAAAAAATGGTATTTTCTTCGAAGGTCAACACATGGCAGAAGCGGTTTGCGCAAGCATTCAATCCTCTTCCTCACCAAAACAGCAGATTCACATAGAAGCGAGGGGGACGGAGGCTCCAAAACTAGCCCCTAAGCGTTCTTTGGGCAGGGGAACCAATTCGAAAAATTGAATCGAATAGAATAGGACAGCGATTCTCAAACTTTTTTCTCCTACGTCTCCCTTCTGCCTCTTGGGGAGCGCTCGCGTCTTCCCCGAGGGTCATCGAATATCTGAGAATATAGAGTTTCGACCGAGACATGGCACAGTGCCGTTCTATCCGTACATACGGCTTCACCCTTTAATTGTACAATACAATGATTATAAGCTCGGAGTACAGTAGCAATGAGCTTGGTAAGCTTTCTGGAATTTGAAATCAGGTCGGTCGGGAATTCTCGGAGCCCTAAGCGTCTCCCCTAGATTTCTCCCGCGTCTCCCCTAGATTTCTCCCGCGTCTCCCCCAGGAGACGCGTCCCCCGTAGTTTGAGAAACGCTGGAATAGGAGGATGTCGAACTCCTTTCCGAACGGGCGAGAATTCGAACTCATTCCATTCGACTCGATTCTCGATTGCCGTGCGAGGTGGTATTCGACGCTCCTCATGATCGAGAGAGCCCTGCTCATACTTCCCGCGCTCAACAATGTCTTATCCAGACATGGTACACCGATTGCGGCTCAAGACTCCATTGCTCTGGAGAGAATCGCGGAGGTGTTAGCACCTTTCAAAAGGACCGTTCTGCTTCTGTGTAAGGAAGGAGCCACCCTAGCGCATGCCGACAAAGTATTCGCCCTCTTGCTTCGTGATCTCAGAGGATCGACATAGGAGCTAGCCGAGATTCTATACGAGAATCTGAGAGTGGAGATAGCGAAGAGGAGAACCGCTGTCTCGAGTGTATTGGCTATCCTCGAGAATCCTGACTATGACTTCGCGTTGGAAGACGAAGTTGGTCAGAAGAAACCATCAGAGAGAGATATGATTCATATCCTGGAGGATATCCTTGGTGCTGAAGAAAAGGTTGCTTCCCTCGAGCCTCATACCGATGGGCCCATAGTGGTGAGTTCACTCCACTCATCAGCACTAATTCACCTTTCTAGGTGTTGAGCATACATACCAGAGTTTGTGAGGTCAAAGCCAATCACAAATCATTCAAATTCAGGAAACGGTCTCTTGAGAGAATATTTTCTCCGCTCCATCGACCTCGTCCGCATCCGAGGAGTCCTCCGAAGCTTGTACGAAGGAAAATCTTCGGAGAGAGTTCGCGCTTCACCGTGCCGGTGGCGGCCGCGGGTATCTTCTCAATTTGTCCCGGAAGATCATCCAAGCCGTTCCTCCAACGTCCGTTCAACCCGAACGGGATTTCAGCGTCGCTCGCCTCGTGTTGGGCGAGCATCGCGTGAGACTGAAGCCGGAGACTCTCAATGATATTTTCATACTCCGTAAGGCTTTCCAGCATGAGGCCTTGTAGGATTGGCCCACGGAGGTATTGAGACCGGAAAGTGCTCGTACGCTGACGTATGACGTATATAATTAACGAGAAGATCATTTAGTACTTGTGTAATAGTCACTGTCGAAGACAAATCGAGCGTAAATTATAAAATCTTGTGTATGCTTCCGAGACGATGCAGGAATCAGTCCGACTCGGCTTCTATCCATCGGTTTAATGCATATTCATGGGTTTAATCATTCAAAGTAGAGGAAGGGTCGATTTGGAGACGAATTTTCCGAGGAACCGCAATTTGCGGGTCTTTGCGGTTTTCACCCGCGGTTCTGGCGTTGCGGTTCCCCGCGGTTCCGGCATTTTGCGGGTTTTTGCAAAGCCTAGTCAGGAGGGAGATGCTCTCCGCAATCAGGGTCTCGATGATTCCCTCGAAGGGACTCAGTCAGTCAGCAGCGGGAATGGGCGAAAATCGCGAGAGTGCTCGGTATCCCTTCCTCTGTGCATCACGGACAAGGTTCCTGTGCTTGACCTCTTCAACGAGATAGACAGTCACGGGCCCGGAGTGCTCCGAGCTTTTTTCCCCTTCTCGGGTTCGAGAGGTGAAACCATCTGGTGCTGGAGCTTCCTCAAAGATTCCGTCTCCTCCTCGATCACGCGCGAAGAACGCGGAAGAACGCAGATCTTCAAGTTTTCAGAAAAATCAGCAGATCTTTTGAACACGGATGCAATCGGAGAGTCGGAGAGCATTGAAGAGGAAAACCCGAAAAAATCTGGAAAGCTGCGTGCGGGGATGTACGGGAGCGCTTTCTACGTTGGGTACGACGGGGTTCGGAACCCCTAGGGAAACGGTTGCTCAGTGCATATTCTTCCTCGCTCGACATTGTTCTCACGCTTAGAAAGCTCGGATCGGAATGAAAACTCGACCATACGTAGCGCTTTCAACATTCGTCCAAGTCTGGAGCTTCGAGATCGATGTCGCAACATCGTTGTATTTCATCCCTGTCTGAGCTACCTGTCGGGAAGATGTAGACCCTAGCGCTCAAGAGGAACTCCATAGTTCGCTCAGACAACACTGATCACCATTCACAATCGTATATACTATATACAGATTTTTTCATTTATTATATGAAACTTCTTGATCCCGCGAGATTGTCATTAACTTCCGTCCACCACGCATTGCTTGCACTTGGGAACAACTCGACTTACTCAAACCCGGAAAATATACCCCGCTTTACCTTGTAAGCTGATCGATCGGAATCGATACGAAGTCTCGAAAAATCGCTCATGATAAATTATGCATTCAGAGGGTATGATAGATACAGGCGGGGTCATTTTCTTCAAGATCCTGCAGGAAGGACAGGGTCTTACACACGGATTTTCACAACGTCATTCCACTGAATCTTCGGCATCTAAGCGGAGTTTCGGCCAGATCTTGAGGATCTCTTCATTACTCTATAATAGAAAGCTATGGTACTGATAGCACTCATATTGCGTCGTAGACGACGATTTTTGCGCATATTCGTGCCAGCCCGGCGGGTTGCCTCCGATGAAGGCAGAGCGGGGATCATCGCTGTAGTCTCAAGATGCGGAATGCGCGGCAGGACATCGTTCGTAACGGGATTCTGGTGTGAGCATCGAGCCACTGGGCGAGACGGCGTCGATGAAGCTGATGACGCGACTCCTACGGCGGTGTCGGAAACTCCGACGGGAAGCTCGGTGACACATCGGATGGCCTTCTCTCCGGACGGGGAACGCGCCGCCGATGTGGCGCATACAGCTGAATGGATAGAATCGGATAATTGGCAGTGCTCGCAGCAGTATTTCTGCGCGCATCAGTACAAGCGAATCGTTCCATCGACGATGCTCTTCGGAAGCCATTGCGCCCTAGAGCCTTCAGCGAGCTGATTTGGTTAGTGAATGGATGTTTAGTCACTTTGAACGATTGCGGCGGCTGTCCCCACGGCAGCCATTCAATTTTAACAAACGCAACAACGCTGCGTGAATTGCTCCGCAAGCTGTCCCCGATCGATCACCGAAGAGTTCATCGCAGCGAGCTCCTCGTCAGCCTTTTCAGTTCGGCGACCTTCCTCAATCATCCTCGAAATTCCACCCCTAATCCGAGCTGCATGCTCAGCCCCGGAGAGTTTCATTCCACGTTCGGAGTTTGGCGCAGGCATCGTTGTTCGGCTGTGTCGTGATGTCAACCATGGGGACGTACGAAGAGGACGGATCCTCGTCATATGAACTCAGACTCAAGTCCGTACTCCGAAAATAAGTTGACTCTCGACATCATGTGAACTGGCCCATCCGCAAAATCATTAATTATTTAGGTACTGGATGTAGTTTTCAGGAATGAGTCCCCGTTTTCCGTTGAGCACTCCCTCCAACCAACCCGTCTCTCGTGACGGTCTCACTGAAACGGCGAGTATCCATTTTAGTCAGAAACACGGCGGTCTCATGTATTCGCTTACTCATGACGAGAAATCTTAAATGAAATGAGGGATAACTTTACTTGAGGAAATCCGTCACGCAGATGAGCCCAATCCAGGCAGTCAAAATAGGAAAACAGGATGGAGACGAGAAACGGAGGATGTGACCATGCGTCGTGAAGGATGCAATCGTACAAGAGATTCCCAAAGGATATAGGGTGCGGGGTTTGCAATGCATGGGGGCAGAACATTAGAGGGGAAGATTCGAAGCATTCGAGAGTGAGCGCCTCTCATAGCTCGTACGTACTTATGCGAATTGGAGCAGAAGGAAACGCACAAGCTCCGAAGTAGACGTCGGAAATGCCCTCACTCTTCGCTTACGCAATGGGCAAGTAGATGGTGAGAGGGGCGGCAAGATGAGCGTGGAAAGACCATTGACTCGCAGATGGAGTGAGAAAAGATAGACAAGGACACATGCGAGGAGCCAGGCACGAGAGTGTGAGGCGCTTATGAGCAGAAGATTTCAGATGTAATATATCTCACCGTCCGTGATGATCTGGTTTGGCTCGAAGGAGAGTTCCTGTTCGTTCTCTCCAACACATGCATATAAGGTCCTCACGCGGCAACCCGACGGCGCTTTCACCGCACCCGGTGACGGACCGGTTCCCGAAGGGCTAGCCGAGACTGAGCCCACAGATCCATGACTAGAGGTACTGCGATGACGAAAGCTTGTTAGGAGAGCGTATATCCCATTCGATGCTATACCGAGATGATGAGCGATTTCTTTTCGATAACGGAATGTCCCCAGAGAGCCGGGATCCCCATCGATGGATTCCGGTTGCTGTATCATGACTTTGGAGCACGCTCGATTTACTCACAGCGTGGGCTGTGAGGTGGCGCTGTAGTTTGGCACGTTCGGCGATCCGTGATACGTTTGACCACCGCCGGTTCCTTGAGCTGAATCTCGGCTCCACTGACTAGCCAATGGGTAGCTACAAGCGTGGGACACATATTGATGTCGCGAAGGAGCCTGCGGGGCGGCCGACTGGGGCACGCCATTGACAGCTGCCACCGACATCGCCGCATTCACCCCGACCGGGACAGCGGTATAACTTCTGAGAGCGTCGTAGCCGTAAATTCCCTCCTGAAAAAAGTATCAATACTCGTGGAGCGGAGTAGAATGGAGGAAGCAGAGAAACCTCCCGCTTCCTTCCGATCTTATCCAGGCTACGAATTGCGAATGGACGAGAACATACGGCTTTGAAGAAACCGAGGACCTACCTGCATTTGTTGAATATGTTGCGGCGACCCGCCCCCAGGACTCCCTTGCGGGTAGTATATCGTCGGCATCTGCAGGTCACTTATCGATGTTTGCGGCGTTCGCAGTGAGCATCTATGCGGTGAGCCCGTTTGGGCTGAAATCGCGTTCATTGTCGATACCTGGGGGCTCTGATGAGCTGCCGGAGGTGCCGCTCTTGATACTTCTTGTCGAGAGCCTTCGTAGATATTCCCACTGGCTCCTCCTGAGTTGTTTGAAACCGCTGGCGATACAGCTGGCTTCGAAAATATCTGTAATATCCTCGACTGTAGGAATGATCTTGAGAGTTGATCCACGTCCACACAATCTCTCCTAAATGACGCTTGTCGGATATCGGAGGCTCGATCCGAAGCACGTACCACAGAAAAGTTCTCGATAAGAATCTCAACAATCACGTTACAAAATTTGATGTCCATTATGGCAGCTACTGTTTCCTCTTCAGGTCGTAACAGGGTGGGTCCGAAGCAAACGCCAAGGTTACTTATAGACATCAAATTCGTTGTCTTGTTGTCCGATACTCTGAGGAAGAGAACCGGAGCTCAATCGTTAGCCCGGGCTTCTCCAAGCCCACACGAGAAATATTGATTGCTCATTGGAGTCCTAACTCACTTGACCAGATGCTCGATGAGTATTCGGAGCATTCTATAATTTTCTTGAGGTAGTTCCTGCACTAATTTCTCCACTCTATTTATTCTCTCTTGGGCGTTTTCCAATTTCGCTGCTTTGATGAATTCTTGATGTAGACGGAATGTCATCAGGGGCTCGGGTAAATGCCGCAGGTAATTCTTCAATGACGAAGCTATCGTCTTAACCTCCCATTCGTTTGCGTCCATCAGGTTAACCTGAGAAACTTGTTTCTGGTCTGCGGACGGAAAGTCTATTAGGCATCCGAATCGACCGAGTCCGATCGACGACGGGTTCGGAATCACGGAATCGCGAGAGAGAGCTAGAACTCACCGAAAGCAAGCTGGAGGAGTTTTTGAACTTTGGAAGCCACGCCAGCGGTCCGATATAGCCCTTGGTCTTCCAGACCCCTCTTCTCGATCGCATCGATGCACAGTTTGACGAAGCAAAGTCCCTCCTCATTTATCAGAATGTTAGCGTTCTGAGAGGCCATACCAGGGGCCAGTGGCGGAGGTCGCGGATCTTTACCATCCATAGCCGCCAGCCACAGCTTGTAGTCTTCTGCGTTTAGTGCTTGGAAAGTAAACACTGTCCCCGGGCTTTTATCCCGCGGAGTTACGTCGAAACAGTACCTCCGATCAATTGTTTCTGACATACGTCGTACACATTCAGCCAGATGAATGGTTTCACAATTCGTCTGCAAGAGCAACCGGTGAGCTGAGGCAATCACATACATACGTATCACGGGGGAATGCAATCAGGAAAAATCTCCACTAAGGGTCGGGGAACTCACGAGTTTCTGGTTCCCATTCTGAGAATACGGAATCATCGTAAATTTCCGGTCTTCTTTTCTGTATTGACAGAAGTGCTTAGTCCAGACGGACCCCAGATGTTCTGCGAAAATAAGCGGTTTCTCTACGATTAGACGTGTAGAATCCTAAATGTCTGATGGATATGAAGGGTCGACGTTAAAACTTTCGGTAAGCCGTTGCATGAGCAGGAGAAAACGAGCCTAGTGGTACAGATTAAAAAAGGTAGAACTCAAGAATGTCAGCGAGCCGCGGAACCGTCTGAGGGGAAACGATTAGGGAGCCATTCCAAAATCCGTCGATTCCAATGAGAGGGTGAGCTATGGCCCGTTTCCCGCGAACGTTGGAAACACGTGTGAGAATATATTTTCCTCGAGTAAGCATGCTCGAAGACCTCAGAAGTCATGCAGCATGCCCGCCTAATCGAGTTAACGCCAACCAAAAATCTAGCTTGCAATACTCACTCTTCTCTAAGAGATACAGATAGCCTTCTCGGGTGTACATGCGATTAAGCGAGCCGGGATCTGGTTTCTGGAGGAGGGGTTCAAAGAAAAAATCTGATTGTCACTTTCAAAATTTGGGCAGGAGAACTCAATCTGATGTATCCTCATCCGATGGAGCTGCCATGCGAAGCTGTCTCTCGAATGGCAACTTGACTAGGAACTCCTGCATCTAAATCAAGGGTCGTGGGGCAGTCTCGGCCGAAATCCGATGGAGTCTAAATGAGGGAGACAGAGTCAGCATGGATGAGGTCCTTACCTCTGTGAGCATTTTCCGCATCAACAATTCTGCTTTGGTATTGGTGATTTCCAGACTCTCCCGAGTCTTCTGCAGCTTTTTCTGCAGATCCGTGTTGAACGGAGTAAAATCGTTCGCGACTTCGTGGCCCTGGTGATAGAATGTCAACCAGCCGTACATGAAGCGGAGGATCTGTAAAAAAATCACTCACTGAGTCACACACGAGCTAGCTACAAAGCTGTCTCAATCTAACGAGCCTACATAGAGCCTGAGAGCTCAGGGGCAGACTTCCGCACAATCGAAAGGTCACCGGGGAACTTGCCGTCTCCACGAACTCAGTTTTCTTCCCTTCTTGGACTCGCTGTAAGTGCAAGATGTATTCCAGCGATGTTCTGAAGAAGTTGGCCTGTGCCGTTACAACCTCTAGATCCGTCTGAAAGTCAGAATCCTTAATGTCAGTCACCAACTCTCATCATGCTCGTCTGGATATGCTCATCGGGTGGAAACCTCTTTTTGAGGAGCGACATATCTCACTTTGGCAACTGTGATCAATACTCCTGCACAAGCGAGTCACTCCATGTGGCTTATCTCAAAAGCGCTAGAAACTTGTTGTTTCCTTCCTCGTTAGAGCTACCCCAACGGATTTTTCCCCGTTTCCGAAGTCAACCGAGAGGTAGCCGCCATGTTTGTTTTGCTGGACCCAGCTCCCCAGGAGCGGCATGCCCCTTCTCCATTGTAATATCCACAGGTCGCTCTCTACGGCAGCGACCCCAAGAGAAGAACCTCGTGTCCCTTGGCCAGCCCGAATCTGAGCCTACACTGGATGGTTCCCCCGCATGGAACCTGGCCATTTCCTTGAAAAGCTCATACTGCCTTCAAGAATCAGATGGGATCTCCATTTCGAACGGATCCATAGCTCGCACCGACATCGCTCGATGGCGAGTCTTCAAACGCAGCGCCCTCCGGTGGTTCCGCCGCAAACGAGCTCGGTCATGACAGAGTGGTACTAAGGAGTGCCAGGAGAATTCATCCGGCTTCGTTTTCTACGCTCTCCATTATGTTTGGATGGCGCCGTCATTCTAGAGACCGAAATAAGCGGGGGAGAGATGTGGAAAGTCAGACTCACCTCTTTCAGCTCACTCTTCTTCGAGCTCTGGCCGAGGCTTTTCTCGAGAGCACTGCAATATTTCGCGGTATCCTTCTCGAAACGCTTCTTCTTCTCTTTAGCTTCTCCTATCCGTTCCTTACGGAAAGTTTCTATTGGCTCGATCAGGGTGTGAGCGTTCTCCAACTGTGGATTGATTTGAGCAAATCGACTTCAGGATAGCGTCATAGTCCATTGAATCTTTCTTGTAATGCTTCTTCGTTGCTTTCGAGATGTTTGAACGACAGGCAGAGGTGCTCGAAAATACACGAGAAACGCCGTGCGAAAATGCATTTTCCGACATCAGAACAGCTTCGAGCCGCGCATGTTCGGCATCGTTCTTCGGGAAGCATATTCAGATCATCCCAGATTCTAGAAGGTAAACTCTTTCGATCCCGGAAGTCCTCAATGATAATTCAATCTCGAGTTGCCCGTTCCCCATTTTCTTTCGCGACTATCTATGTATTTCTGGAATTCATGATCCTGAAACCGAGCTAGTCGGATGTCTGCATCGCTCTTCTTCGGTTCACTCGTCTCGTTTTCGAAGTTTCCGTGAAGGATCTCATTTCCTGCGGCGGTGCAGTGTCTGCAACGTGGTCGTCTACGCTGACGACGGCGATTTTATTCGACCCGCAGTCGATGTCATCACGTTGCATAATTGCCGATCGGAATGCCACCGGAAGCCCCGAGGCGAAGGACTCTAGGCGCTTCCCATCGCCGAACATCCAAAAAGTACCGTTAATAAGCGCAGGACGGATACCGCGCTGACGGACCGTCGGACCAGCGGGCAATGTCCTGTAGCGGGTTGACATCACCGTTCCACATTATTCGTCATTTGCTGAAAGCTTATCACCGATCGAAAACATGGTCGGCACTTACCATCCGATCACGCTCATCCTCAACTGTGTTCAGGAGTCGGCTGAACTCCTTGAGAGAATTCGATATGACGATTTCGTCATCTGTCTGACTCGTACCGATAGTCTCGAATTTAAACTCGCTGAAAGCTTTCGCGAGATTTCGCTGAGCCCGAGACAGATCTGCAATCAAGAAAGGTTCTCAATGTGTGTCATGAAATCGACGCTTTCGCTTGTAGACTCCCTCACGTGTATATACGAGCGTATCAGTCCCTTGTTCTCTCATCCCTCGTGTACGGGTCCGAGGGCTGGAGGCCGTGGCTTGAGCGCACCGTAGTTTCTCTCGAATCTTTCCAGAGGCGCTTCACTTGCCATGTAGCTCGGAAATGCCAGCCCCCCCCCCCCCTCGACTCTATCTCTCTCCCTCCCCTATCCCAGATCCTGGATGAAAAAGATCTCAAGCTCGCCAAGAAGCTCCTCCGCGTATCCCACCCCACCCCCTTCTTCCCGACCAAAATGACCAACACTCGATCTCGTCGACTTTTCGTCATATCCCGAGCCAGGAACAATCTTGTAGCCAACAGCTTCCGATGACGCCTAGCCACGAGATTGACTAGTAACCTTGTTGAAAATTCCATCCTGTCCCCCGCTGGGGTAATAAACAGAATGATGATGCCATGCATGGACATTCGGGCACTAGGATATCGATGTCGATTCATCCGCAATCGTCTCATCGGATGAGAAGATGGGAGATGCTCGGGGTAGCCAGAGGATTGCCAATTCAATTTGATAGTCTTTTATTCCGAGGAACTCGACTCAGATTCAACTTGTGAGGGTTGCTCGTGCGGAATGAGAGATGAAGTCAGATTCCCTTCCAGTCGTCTTTTGTCACGAAGATTGATACAATCATAGTCTTTCAGGATTAGTTCTCGTGGGAGCATCCACCTTTGGCCGAAACTCCCACACAAGCCTTCGATCCGACCCACGCCGCAGTCGCGCTTCGGGATGTGCTTGGACCGGCAGCAATGTTCCGATGCTTAAAGCTATGGTTGACTGGGGCCGAGATGTCTACTGAGGGCTGCTCGACCTCTTGAATTCGAATAACCTCCCTTGTAGACAGGACAGTCCAGAATGGGTTCACGCGGCTTCCGAATCAGTAGCCTCAATGATCCCTTCAATGCCTTGGATCTAAACGCGATACGTATGACCAGTATTAGGAAGCAGCCGTCTTTGAGAGCAAGGTACACCGAGGACTGAAATCAGACACCCTAGTGGGCAATCGCGTAAACACAGAAGAGCGAGACAGCTCTCGCAGTCATCGGAAAAAGAGCACGGAATCCTCTATGCTCCTCCCGATGCCTGTAGAAGCGCTGGCTTCAGAGCAGCGGAGAGCCCTATCGTGGAAGAACATCGGAGAGTTTATGTGATCATCATCCGTTATCGCTCGGAGCCTTTCAATCCTTCAGCAAAAGCTCCCTGAGCTCGCAGATGATTCGAAAACGAAATCGACGGCCCTGCTCAGAGTACCTTCGCCCCCCCCCCCGGGACTCCCGAACGAGCCTGTTGCCGGAAGCCTGGGATATGACTCCGGGAGTCCTGACTTCATCCGCCCTTTTTATTTGATCGGGATGAGGTGCTCCCCATTCATCCTCCGGATGTATCTTCACTGTCCTTGACTCGTTAGTGGGTGTGTTTCAAACTCCCACAATGCCGGCGATTACGTCGGAAGGATACCACATTTCATTTCACTGACCGTTGCGATGTGCATACGATCCAAAACTGCCCACGGTGGCCGACGGTTGGCATCCACCAAGCAAACTAATAGATTATCTCACTCGATGCCCCGAGACGCCGTTCCAGCGACGCGACATTCTCGTAGATACGTAACTAGATGCCGACGAGAAGTCAGTAAAGAGATCATTCGGTATCTTCCGAAATTTCTATCGCTTCTTCTGACTGACCGAAAAACTCGATTCAGGGGTTACTGATTACTGAATACACTATCAATTTCTAACACACGGAGAGTTCAACGCGAATGGATTGCGGAAGCACGCTGAATAGTCTGATGAGCCGCACGCCAGACGTATTCCCCAACCTTGTCGCGTCCTATACGCGCTTTCCGCACAACGGATGTGTCAATCGAGTTCTTCGTTTAGGCGTATCGCTGATCCGACAGCTACCCTAATAATAATAGTGAGCATAGGAGGAGTCTGCTGTTCCGTTTTCTCTCGATCTTCAATTGAGCAGATTCAGGACTGGATCCTCCGCCGCATCGCACAACTCAGCGAGCAGTGTCTGATTACGCGTTTCCACAGAGAACGTTCCTGGCATGCCTAGCTGCCTTTGACTCGGGATATGAAACGACTCGCGCCGTCCCCCAGTACACCTCCGGGGGCACACCGAAGTTTTAAGTGTGGGTTCTCAGCGATTGTTCCTGACGAAAGAGCGCTGAAGCAGTGATCAGTCTCGAGTCGAGAGCAGAGCTGATACCCAGCTGACAACAATGGTGAGTTGAGTGCAATGCGCGCTGCCGGGGGTTTCCAAGGCAGGCCGATTTAGGAGTGTCCTGGATTCGAAGTTATATCGGAATGAGTGTAGGCCGCTGCGGACATCCGGGATCAAGCATTCCGACGACCTCTCCCTCGGAGTGCGCTCTCCATCGCCAAACCGATAGACAGGAGCTTAGGAAACCATACCGGCTTTCCGAACCTGCTCGACGTGGACGTATTCCGGGGGAAAAGATTCGAATGATCGCCCCGAAATCCCGTAAGAGGAATCGAAGCTGGAACCGTTCATCTCTCGAGATGCTTCAGAAACGCACGCGGAGAGGATGATCGGATTGAGCCCCATCTGCTTAGGGTCCGTGGACAGATGACAGCACAAGTTTCCCCTCTCGAGAACGTAACCATCCGTCGACAAACCCAAACTTCATGATGTCCATCAGTCGGGACCTCGCTGCTCATTCTCCGATCTTTGGCTAGAAATCTCAGAATCGAACAATCGAGGCAGGAGCTTCCCACAGCTATTGCGGTATGCAGACCGAGACTGTCGGAATCGTCTAGCTCCTAAACCGTCTTGTACGTCAAACCGAAAGCGTCATTCTAAATATGTATACGAGTCATATTTCATCGAGGGATCTTCCGAAGAATAAGCGATTACGCAGTAGCGGCCAAACGATTCTATTCTCTCGCTTACTCACTTTTAGCCGCATTGAGTAATTCCTTGATTTCCTTGAGGATACTTTTCATCGACTGAGCCGTAGTCTCCAATTCCTTCTCATGGCAGGCGAGATTCTCCCGGAACTGAGGAGAGTCTGTGAGACAGTCTCTGAATTCTAGGGGAAGAAGAACCATCTTCTGAAGAGGTCGTAGATTCGAGTGTTCGGGGAGCAGAAGGGACTTCGGAGAGCTTTGCTCAGCTCATACACACGACGTGTAGAGAACAGGTCGATCAGATCGCTAGCGGCAGTAGAAGCAACTCTACTGTACGTGCGACATTTCCTGCCCGCACAACACGTCTACAACGATCGTAGCAACAAGTGGCAATCTCTGGAGCAAGAGCGAGCATGACCGGTGGTCAGTATCATCGGGAATAAAGGATACTCTTGAGGCTGCTGGTTCCGTGTATCCATTGGCGATAGTTTGTGGAACTTCTTGCACTGTCTGATTAAGCGCGATGCTGCCGCACTCGGATGGAGACAATCATTTCACGAGGTTGGTTCATTTGATTCCACCACACCACACAGCACAAGTGACGGGAGCAGCAGCGGCAGCACCAACTCACGCCAGCTCCCAATGATGACTAACACAGCAGCAGCGCTTTTTCTCGATGATCAACAACACACCGCCAACCATCAGCAGCCGCGGCAGCCCACAGCAGCACCGCCACCACCGAACACGACAAGGAGAGAGAAACAGAGCGGAAACGTCGTCCCACCAGAATATGATCCCGAGCTCTTCTTTTGCTGTTCAGAGGGGCAACACGAAGCTTATTCGCGACTTTTCAGAATCGTCATCGAACTCGAGATCTTAGTTTCGGGATGATCCATTCTGATTTAATTTTTACTCTAGTGAGGTGTTCTGACAAAGCAGAGCCCTCTACGGGCAAGGCTGTAAGCCTATGCCTGCAATCTTTTGGCGGCTTATTCGAATTCGCTCCGCTTGCTAATCGCTGGAGGACTCCCTATTCTATCGATAGCAGCAATCCTCGAGCTGGGTTCCGCGCTCCTCCACTCGATCTGATCAGAAATGACGTATTCTTCATCCGATCATAGCACATACTCAACTTCTTCTTTTGATCAATGGGAAGTCAGAAAACATCTTGGTCCAACAAGCGTTCTCTGGAATCCATGAGAGGACAGTCGGAGGTTCCGTGGAGACGGCGGAAAGTTGGTCTCACAAGCGTTCTCTGGAATCCATGAGAGGACAGTCGGAGGTTCCGTGGAGAGGGCGGAAAAATTATTTGGCCCCTTCAGGGTTCCAATGGCGGTCACAGATGTGCAAATATGATCTGATACCTGGCGCCTCGAAATCCGCGACCAACTACCCTGTGAGGAGACGCGGACCCACTGGCCCGCCCAGGGAGAATGTCGACGATTCGAAATGGCGGACCAATTCTTAGGAAGGGGGCTTTTCGAGCTAGGAAAATGGACATGGGGATTTTTCGGCCGCCCCGTGGGTATCTGTGGGCTACGGGGAACAATGGACCAAAGGAGCAACCACGTATGGACAAAATTCCTCAAGTCCTAGTCGGACCAGTGAAGGAAATCTCTTACGCGACTCCCTGATTTCTTGCTCAAACAGGCTGGTCCTCTCCGAAGATATACTGTGAAAATAGCATTGTCGCTCTGACTAGTCTCCGCAGGCGTGACGCTGCTTCCCGAGTCGATTGTCAACCGCAGTTGGAGCCTGAAAGCGTAGAGCTCGGAAGTTCAGGCATCTTGCCATAAATGCCCACGGCTGCCTTTTCAACGTTTTTCGATCGAATACGCCTATATTGTTTTTTCCGCGCCCGCACTCTGAGCTTTTGAGACGCTTGATACCGGAAACGGGGAAATATTAGGTCTACGAAAAAAATCGGCGATGGAATCGGGCCGGCGAAGGGACACATCTTGCGTCCAATAAAATCCGAGTGTCCACCTAGACGCAGGCTTTTATTTCGATGACTCGATCACAAAGCGATGCAATGGGACGCCAAGTTCCCATGGTCTGTCATGAGAGGGCACGGACGAAAAATTTAGTGCGGTCTCTTCCCTGCCTGTTATTCCTGTTGTGGTCAGTTTTGGGGCCTATTCTGCCTAGCTTCGAAGCCTATTCTGCCTAGTTTCGAAGCCTATTCCAAGGTTTTTCAGAGCCTTCTTGCCTGCCTCTTTTCAGCATTTTTTAGGACCTGAACCCCCAAGCTCTACAAGTGCGTAAGCTTCTCCCGGGACTCCGCTGCTGAGCTCGAGCTCCCGGGAGGAAGCGTTCATCGTCTGCGAGAATACTGATGATTCCCACGGCAGGGTTTCGATAACCCCCTCTGTTCCATGGTGGGAGATGGGGAGCACCGAAAATTCTATTCAGCCGCGACTGTCTATGAAGCACGCCCACCGCAAACGAACGACCTATCGCGAGCTAAAATAGAATCCATAACATTGGAGGTCGGATAAGTTCCCGTTATGATCGGCTGCTTCAGAAGTATGAAGCTCCCGCGTCATCGACATGAATACGATTCAAGCAATCATATGTAGTACCAAGGCTAAGCTCTGATGAACCGACACTTCTCTAGCGGCATCCTGGAATTCGTCGCTGACGTTCGGCCATACAATATCAACAAACAATCCGACGCAGAAGCGCCCGGATTCATTTCCGCATATCTATATACCGTATTTCCTCTAATAGTGGGGCATGCCCGATAATTGTTCAGAGCCCCCAGATGGGTGCCCGTTAAATGGAAGTGCCCGGTCGGTAATACACAGTTTATTTACTGGAGCAGAGTAATAGGGCTAGGTTTGCTTAGTGTCATTGAAGCGTTTGGAAAGACGCCATCGAAAACTGTTGGCGACAAGATTATTACGGGCGCGAGTAACGACGAACAGCCGCCGAGAGCGCGTATTAGTCAAGCGCGTTACGAAGAAATTTCGTAGGAAATGGGAGCGCTGGATGGACGAAGCAAGCTTGAGGTCCTCACTTCAACCTCGTCGTCTGCTACTGCTACACAACACGTGTTTCCACGCCTCGTGGTTGCTTTTCACCGGTTTCCGAGGATTCCTGTGCCCGATTCCCCGATATTGAGTAGTGTGCCCTCGTCTGGCGATCCGGCTTATCGGTTTTGGCGCGCTTGCTCCGCGAGCTCCGGCGTTACATCCCCTCACCCCCGTCACCCATCCCTAAGCCTAACTGCCATACATCGCTCCTATCACCGCTCAACCTGTTCGCGGTATTCTGACCGTCACGGTATTCATCTCTATCTCGTCTCCGGGATTTTCCGACGCACCTATACCTGCTGATTTTGTTACTCTCGGTTCGGCACTCAGCTTACGTCCCCAGTCTCCTTCCATCGATACCGATCCCGATCAGCTGTTTTCGTCATGGCTGACCTATGCTCCATGTGCTCTCGGAACTCGGGCGACCCGATCTTCTGTTGTACTTTCGGATGCGGTCGAGTCTTCCATAAGACTTGTCTCCCGCCGACCCAGGTGGAAAACTACGTATTGGCTTGCATTCATTGTCGAGTCAAACCGCCGGAGAAATCTTCCAATATAGCCGTCATGAAGCAACTCGCATCTTTCCAAAACATGTTTGTCCATGACAGCTCTCACCTGCGCTCGGAGATTGAATCTCTCAAGGAGACCGTCGGTTCGTGCTCCAACCATCTACGTAAGACTCGCTCCGATCTGTCGGAACTACGGAGAGATCACGATGAGTTACGCGCCGAGTTTAACGAGTTTCGTGTCAGGAGGGATACGTCTCCCCCGAGGTCTCGCCCACCCGGCGATCGTTTCGTCACCAGTCGAGGTCGCGTCGGTGCCGATGACGGTTCCGTCGCCACGGTCGGTACTATGCCTCCCAGCCCATCGTCGATCCCGGTTCTGCCCAAGTTCCTGAAGAAACGAATCTTCGTTTCTCGGATAACCCCCGGTTTCGCCGCTAAGAGCGTATATGACAGCATCAGATCGAGCGTTAAGGGATCCCTGCTTGTCACCAAGCTCAAGACGCCTCACCCAACGTATTCCTCCTTCTGCCTTCAGGTCGATTCTTCTGACGACGAGCTGGCCCTCATGGCGCCTGAGCTCTGGACCACGGGCATTATTATCAGACGTTTCGAGAGGACCGTGCCGCTCGACCGGATCGACTCCGAATATGACGGCTTCGCCGTTACCAGGCCGAACGTTCCGATCACTAACTCTTCCTCCTCAGTACAACAGGATTGACCCTCAGCCCATCCCCACCTCGCCCCTACCAGATCTCAACCCACCCCGGAAGGCCTTCTACACCTCCCCCCATCCAATCATGCCCCTTTTCGTTGTTGTTATTTCAATGCTCGTTCCGCTGCCAAACCAGGTGCTGTAGACGCTATTGGGCAGTATTGCTTGGTTACTGATATCGATTTATTAATGATCAGCGAGACCTGGTTCGATTCCTCGGTTCGGGACGCGGAGATCTCCTTCTCGAGTCGGTTCCAGGTTTTCAGGCTCGACCGCCCCTCTCGGGGG